AAGTGTAAGGGCGAGAAGTCTATCCACACCTATTACAGTTAGTGTATGGAGAGAAACTCCACATAAAATATTTCCAACTATCCAAGATGTAAATAAACCATAGAAACAAGACTCGGTGTTTTCATAAGAATTGTAGGAGATGATACGAAGAGGTTGGAGAACGAGGCCCACACCAAGATCACTATATGCAAGGCACTCGAACAAAAGTTTCGAAGGTGGGTGAAGAACTCGAGCCGAAACTTTCCGAAATGCAATGAAAATCAGAATGTTTCCTAAAATGGCTGCGATGGAAATCGCCACATCAAATGCTGACATAATCACTAGTTGATATCCATCCAAAGGAGTTTCGCACTTGACATAACTTTGAGGTGTTGTTTGGTTTCCGCTTCCAGATGAGTTTTCCTTCCCCTTTAAAATAATTGCGTCGCCTCTGTAAAAATGTCTTAATCTGAATTCGACGTTGTGTTATCAACTAACCTGGATCCTTCATTCCGGCTAAAACCCAAGGTTTTTTTCTGATTAATTTCATCTCACGGCTTCCTGTAGTAAATGATTACGAAAGGCGACAACTGATTCTCTTAGGTCATCGAGAGGTTTTTAATTTGAACCTGAACATGAACTGAGCGTTCAAAACCCTAGCAACCTATTTGAACTAAATAGCCCTTTGAACTTTTTAATAATCAATTAAATAAAATTGTGTAGGAACAAGAACAAATGATTGCATTAGCTAGGAAAACTCTTAACATTAGAATCGTTTAAAAACTTAAATTGATTTTTATTGTTAAATGTCTCTTTATTGGTTTTTCTTTTACTTTGATTTTTCATCGCTTTGGCTCCCTTCCGTTTTCTATTCCCTTGTATTTTCTTTCCTGTAGTGAATGACAAGAAACATTGAGAAAATGATTTTTGTAGGTTCTTTGAGGTTGTTAGGACCGACCAAACACTGAAAATTGAATACCTTTGCAACCTTTGTTAATTAATTCAGTGAAAAAGTGTAGGCAATAAACAGGAGATTGTATTAGCAAGGAGATTCCACAACATTTAAATCGTTTTTATTAAATTTAATTTGTATTTTCATTTGTTGACTGTCTCCATAGCTTTTTTTCTTTCAGTTTAATTTTGTCATCGCGTTGGGCACCTACCATTTTTTATTACCAATAAAATAAACTTAGGTGTATCAGATTTTTCCTTTCTTGAAGTTTAGCAAATGTTACCCATTCATTCATTTAAACGTAACGCCTTTGATGTGACACTTCAATCAAATCTTATGTATAGTCGTATAGTCTTATCGTCCACATACATGGCTAATTCTGCATTGGACTGTTGTCGGTAGAGTGATTCTCATGAGAGAAGATGTCAGGATTTGACTTCCACTAGCATGGCCTGCATGTGGGAAATAATAAAATATAGGCTATGGATTCAATGCTGTGAAAAATAAGTTTTGCGTTCTTTAAGATAACTTTTAAGAATTTCACAAAGCAGTCAGTTAGGAAAGGCAGCCAAATGAACTGTCCCATCGTCGTTCACAGCGCTTGCCTAACCTCCCATATTTTCTAAGAGCATATTATAGGAGTTTGAGCAGAATTTAAAGACAAAAAGACTGCTAAATTTGTAACCTTGCTTTTAATGCATTATACATTAGATTTTCTTTTTGTTTAAGTCCAGCAGATGTGACCCGAGCATGTATCTATGCGTACCACTTTCGCTGTAACTGACCTTCGTCTTATTTTCTTAATTTGGATAATCCTGAACAGCGAGGTTTTCAAAACAAGTGATTGACCCTTGAAGGTGGGTGTAGAGCTCAATATGGAACCCTACGCAATGCAATGAGGATAAGGGTGTTTACCAGAATGACTGCAATGCAAACGGCTGTATTTTAAATGCCGCGGTAAAAACCAATTGATTTCCATTTAATTTATTCCTGCACCAAATATAACTTCGGCTGTTCTTTGATTTCCATCTGTAGATATATTCTCCATCATTCTGACTGGTTTATATAATTTATAAGGGAATGGATCATTATGAAAATCTCGGCGAAAGCCTAAGATTTTCTTCTCATCAGATGAAGTGATCTGATTTTATATAAAGTTTAAAGGGGTCTTTTTAATTGTTATGGGTTTAGCTTTTGGATCTGACAGTGCAGAACTTTCAATGGTGTTGCAATAACTTGTAATTAAATGATTAGTGGAGTCTTCCCATCAATTCATTTGGCCAGAATGTTAGAGCGCAAAAACAAAGAACTTTCCATGCACAGTTGGGGCACTCGTATTGTTTACATATCATGTTTATTGCCAATTCTGAGAACTTTGCTCTGCATTTTTTTGTGACCTCTTAAATGGCTATAAATTATAATAATTGAGAACCACATTCATTAGATACTGATATCTATTTTCCTTGTTTTAGTTCAGCACTCATCAATTCAGCTTTGATAAATCAATCAACCGTGATGTCTCTTTCTCTCAACACTCGTTGCTGACTTTAAATTGCTTCAATATAATTCAATGTTTTTTTCTTGATACAATGAACCCTAGGATTTCTTTCCTCCGCTTTCACTGTGGAAATTGCTCTCTACTTTCCGCTGCCTCAAAAACATAACAGCTATTACATGTCTTCAAGGCAAAGAAATCTAGAGAACAGCTGACGAACTGAAAATTTGCCAATCAAGACAGCCAAATTAAATTTCTTCGAGACTATTCCAATCTGGCTTGAAACATGGGTGGTTGTTAAAAAGAGGTGAATGACTACAGAAACCGCCAGAACTAATGATGAAAATACAACTGCTACTAAGGTTGTAAGCTCCCTTGCCGTTCACGATGTTTTGTTTTTACGCTCCCACACAGGCATTCTGAGTAAATAATAGAAAGTTTCAGGTGGTCACTTAGTTGAAAGTGATTGCCGTGGCATTGAACAATGTGTAAGGTCAAGTTTAAAAAAAAAGCCATAAAAAGATATTAATTAGTTTCACTAACGAGTCCCTTCTACTAAACATGGTGGCGATCAGTTTTTCTAGGAAGATCCTGGACTTTTGTCACAATCATAGAATCATTCCATGTCAAAATAAATGCAGCCAAATGAAAGTGCGTTCATAAAAAGAGACAAAAAAACAACCAAAAAAAAAAAAAAAAAGGGCGACTATTTTGAAGAAGATGGAGAATGCACATAACGAGAGCAACCAAACCACTGTTGAAGACTCTATTCCTTGCTCGGCGATAGGTCTGGATGGAAAGCAAATGGTATTTCTCTTTGCATTTAACGTGGCGATTTGCATCTCAGCCATTCTGGAAAACATTTTGATTCTCGTTGCATTTCGAAAGGTTTCTTCCCTGCATCCTCCTTCTAAGCTTTTATTTGAGTGCCTTGCTTTTACAGATCTTGGTGTTGGTTTATTACACCAACCCCTTCATATCGCCTCTTTTACGCTTCACAAAAACGCCAAGACTTGCTCTTATATCAAACTGGCGTCATGGATCGTGGCTGTCACTTTCTGTGGAGTGTCTCTTCTTACATTGGCTGTGGTTAGTGTAGACAGACTTCTTGCACTTACACTTAAGCTACGATACAGGCAGGTGGTGACTCTAAGACGAACACAGTTTATTATAGCTACTCTTTGGGTCGGTAGCAGTGCTAGTGGATTGGTAGCCCTTTATAACGGGAGGATTTCTTTCATGATTTCCTTCCTGGGTACTATGACGTTTATCACCATCTCAACATTCTGCTATATTACGATATTTATAAAGCTTTTTCATCACCAAGCTCAAATTCAAGGGCAAGTCCTCAATGCACAGCATAATAATGTAGGCAACCAACTGAATATCTCGCGCTACAGAAAGACAGTCTCGAGTGCTCTCTTTGTGCAACTGACATTGGTTGTATGCTATACTCCTTTTGGCGTGGAGAGAGGGTTCATTGCTACTAATAGACACGTGTCATCCTTTGCCGCGCAAATAGCATGGTCCTTAGTTGCGCTGAACTCTGCTCTTAATCCAATAATCTACTTCTGGAAAATAAGGGAAGCAAGACATGCAGCGAGGACATTAACTGAACAACTTTGTTGTCGAAGTCGAGTTCACTAATAGTTTAGAAAAACTCCTCAAAACTCCGTCACTTACAGTCAGCTCACTTTATATAGGAGGCCTGAAAAGGCACTAATATTATCTATAGCGTAAGAGCAAGAGATTAATGTCTTTGTAAGTGGTACTTGTGGTATGTTAATTCTGTCATAAAGAAGTGCACGAAAAAGCTCCCATGTTTTTACAAGGAAATTCAGAAAACCTTTGGGGATCCCGAGAAACCCATTGGTTACGCAACGTCTGCTGCTCAAGAACCAGGGAGCAAATTTCCTTCTGTCCCCAGAGAAACATTACTTGCACCTATGAAGAAAGTTTTGTTTTTGTTCCTCTTTCTCTTCCTCTAGAGATATTATTAATCTCACAATACTGCCAAAACAATAAGGCCGTTATCTCTTTTCCCATGGCATCTTTCCTGTGGGCAAATTTAATGTCTATTGTCACGGAAAAACGATTTTTCTTAGAAGATGGGGCATTACGAGTTAAGCAGGTAAATGGGAGATAAAATTAATCTCTTAAAACGTGACGATGCGAATTTTTTTCTTTTTTTTTTCTTTTGAGGAATCCGTTTTGATATAAAGATTTGGATAGCTTGATGTGACCTGAGCAAAATAAAGGTTGTGATCACTCATTTCTCGCAGTACCATTTTCACTTTAAGTACATGTCAAAGAATATACCATTATATATATTATGACTATACTAGTCACTTCGCATTACGTGAGGTTTGTGAATTAGTAAAGAGTGTGTCTTTGAATACAAAAATAAATAAATAGACAAATAAATAACAATAACTTGATGACAATAATTCTAACATAGGTTAGTATGAAAGAAGTGAAGAAAACATTTCACAAATTTGTCAGTTAGCAAAGCTAGAGAACAAATCAGTAGATAATTCATCTTAGTATATTTGCATATATTATTTATTTGTTTATTTATCATTTTACCATTATTATATATTAAACGGGGAACAAAGTTAATTTAATAATACACGAGAAATAGAAAATAGAAAAAGGAAAAGGCGAGGAAGTCTCAAAAAGCCATGAAGGCTTATAGGTGAGGCTCCCTCTTTAAATTGGAGTTTAAGTTAAACTAGTATGTCGAACGTAACTTAACAATTGCAAAGTACTAAGAAAACTTGATTACTTAGTATTGATAACCTTGTTACACTCTCAGGCATTGTGAAGTTACAATCAATATGAACAATTCCGCGACCTCGAATCCAACAGCGAATTGAATTACACAGATCTCGGTTCATTTTTATGATGGTGTTAAGTTAAGTGACAAAGATTGCGAGTTTTATCAAATGACATGAGCGTTACCCAATATACGAAACCGAGACCTGGGTAACAAAACTTAAAATAAGCATTTATGCCCAACACACGGAATGGTCACCTCGATCACATTTTTGCACCACGGAATACACTGGACGTTGTACTTCAATATTGTTTATAATAATATATCAATATTGTTGAACCATTTGCGAACCAGCTCATTTGCCCCGAGTGTCAACTTTTCAACAAACAGATTGATTTTTGTACGACCACTAAGAGCTGTTATTTTGTTCATTTGAGAGCAATGGGGTATTTCCACAATGCTATCAACCACTATCCAGGCCATCCCCACTCTATGAGAAGCGGGGATGGCACAATGGTAGGAGTTCTCTTCACCCACTGCAGTGTCGTCACATAGGGGGGTTGAGTTGTTGGTTCTTGTTCTTGCTACGAGGGTTTTCTTCGGGTGCTCCTGTTTTCTTCCCCCCCCCCCAAAAAAAAAAAAACCAACATTCCAAATTCAACTCGAACTGGAAACAGTGGACCAGAAGAACCACTTCGTGGTATGTTCAGAGCTACATTACAATTATCATTCCCACCATTGTCATTATCACCCAATGATCAAATTTTGTCAACGCAAAACAAACCAGCTCATTTTCCTCGAGTTTTGGCTATTTGGCGAGGTAGACTGATGTTTATTTATACCTCTCACCACTTTCCCCTTATTTTTGTTTCTTTCTTTGTTCTAATATTTCTTTTCCCTCGAATAAGATATCGCTGTGATGAACTCTTTATTTGATGTTAGAATTATCTTTCCTTTTTCTTAGTTTGCATCTCCAAGCAGTTCTTGACTACTGTTCAGGGCATTGTCCAATAAAGTCAAGTCCTCCACTAAGTTAGGGATTGTCACTTTGAGTAACTCATTCTCCTTCATGGCTTTGCAGATGGCTTGTTTGGCGTGAACATTCCCTGACCAACAGCGGCGAGCGACCTGCATTAAAGGTGAAATTCTAGAATGGAGACACCTATCTGGACACGATTTTAAGTATTCGGGGGAAAGGAAGGAGAGACGAAGCTATTGAATACCAGATATCAGTAGGCAAAATTTTACCAACGTTACCAATTGACTACTTTTTGAGGGTTAGAAAAAACAAGTCTTCTCTTACTCCGTTACTGACGTCCCATGATAACATCATACGAGCTCTTTTACTGGCCTCCTGTCATAGAACGGAAAAAAAGAGGAAAGAATTTGTTACTCAAAGCGCAAGTATAACCCAATACACAGCCCTTTAGTGTCCCTTCAGTAATAGCACTTATTCAGATGTACACGAGAAGTTATTTATCATAACCATCCAGGAACATTTGGGTAATCAAACCCCTGAACAATCTTCAACTTAACTTACTTCTGATCCGTCCAAGACAAGACCAAAGCCTCCATTGATAACCTCACCCCTAAAAGAAAACAAAATATCAGTAGCTCAACATCTGAATAGCCACGACCATTTATACCATCAAAGAAGAACTGATCGCTGGTGCGTTTCTCTCTTGGCGGGGAGAGGCAGAGACATTCGATCTCACCATCCTACTCCACCCTTGCTATGAAGACTTTAAGACTTACCATCCCACTCCACCCCAGTTATGAAGACTTACCATCCCACTGCACCTCGGTTATGAAGACTTACCATCTCACTGCACCCCGGTTATGAAGACTTACCATCCCACTACACCCCCGTTATGAAAACTTACCATCGCACTCCTCCCCCGTCATGAAAACTTACCATCCCACTCCTCCCCCGTTATGAAGAGCGACCCATGTAGCTCCACGGAATGAATCTCCGATTACATTTTGAACCGCCATGTCTGCAAGAAACAAAAATATAAGCAAACATTATTAATACTGGAAATAGCAACATTTACATGACTATTTCAGTTGCACCATTTAGATCACGTGTTATCTTAACCCTTGAACCCCTAAGAGTGACTCCACATCTTATTTCTCCTTACAGTGTCACTCTTAGATCAAACAACTAAAGAAGCTCTTGATTGTTAAACAAATTCTCTTGTCAGAATCTTAGGAAATGTAAAAAAACAGTGTGGAGAATATGCATACGGATGTTAGGGTGTAAAGAGTTAACAAAGTGACAACCACATAAGATTATTTTTACGAACAACATCAACAAACAGACACGCAAAAAACGAAAATACGAAAAAAAAACAAACAAAGAAAGAAAAAATAGACATAAGGACAGAAAATCCTGCGTTCTCCAAGTCAAAAGAACAGAGCTTTATTGTTCAGCCACAAACCTGCACAGAAACTGGATCCATCGTAGACATTTGAAGTCTCTCGGTATGGACTTAAAAAAAAAAAAAAAAAAAAAAAAAGCAAAACATTATGCATAAAAGTAGAAAGTCAGGGATGATTTAGGAAGCAACGAACATATTATGTGAACGCTTGTCCAAAGGCACCTGGGAAAAATAAATGTTTCTTTTTTTTATATCAATAAAATCGTTGCAAACTTAATAAAGAACACTTTTAGTCGTAATCTGACATCGCAGTACCTTTCTTCACAAGTATAATTTCTTCATTACGAAATGAAGATCGGTTCTTACAATAATGCCCCAGATGAGCCAAAATAAAAGAGGGCACTTAGTTAAGTACCTGTCCGTTCCACTGACATCATGGTGGTCCCGACTGATAACAACACAACCCTGGAAAGGTACCATGGATTAATATAGTCATTAGCTAGGGAAGGAGGTATGCTTTAATAGACGTGGTAAAGAAATAGGTCTTGTAATTGAGGTGCCTCATTATCCTCTACTATTAATTAAAGGGAAGCTTAGCCTATTTCGGTTTTTCGCTGTTTGTTTTTTGATTGTTTGTTGTTGTTGCTTATTTCTTTGTGTTCTGCTTGTTGTTTGTTTGCTTGCTTGTTTGCCTGTTACCATTATTACGCGTAGCCTCATATTAATCCTCCTAGGTAAGCGAGTAAATGTAAAAATCACTCTTCGAACCATTTCACTCCCATGAGTGGCCAAGACAGAATTTCTCCTCACAACATCAATTAAATATGAGTAGACAGGTGATGACGAAAAAGAAAAAAAATCAATCAGTGGATTCTTAGTTGATCCGATACCAAATTCTCTGAACTAACATCATACGAATTGTATGGTAGACAGTGCGGAGAATTTATCCTTAAGAGATCTTGGCAGTGAAAGGGTTAAACTGTTCATTACATAGTTTAAAAAATGCATGTCAAAACGCTACACCACTGACCGACAATATCCCGTCACGTATTGCCATATTAAATGCCTCTGCGAGAGCAACGCGGCCTCGCTGATCGGAGTATAAAATCCGTGCTTGAGATCCAACAACCTAAAAGTCGAACACAATTTTCCTTGTTTAGTACTTTACCTTGTCCCTCCCCAAAAGCGGCACTCCCATATTCAAATCGAACCGAAAATGGTGTTCAAATAAGAACCACCACTTCGTGGACGTCTTTTGCTGAATCTGATTTATTCATCGTAGTACCACTAGGGCAATTTCCAATAGAGTGTCGAAAGAATTCTGGGATTGCTTTGGTATTGCGTTACCTCGCTCTGTGATTGGTCCAGAAAACTCGTACCGCTTTCTCAACCAATCAGATGCAACCCTAAAACCAATCACGACTTGGTCGTCCGTGTTTTTCCGCGCTTTAGGTTGTTAAGTTGTTTTTGCTCTGAGTTCTCATTGGTTCTTAAAGGTATTTTCTTTTCTTCACATTGGCCTTTGTGATAACACTAGCTTCGGTTTTACGACACTCAATCGAAAAGCGCTCTTTTCATCATTATTAAACGTCCCATGAATAGCGGATGGAGAGGAGGGGGGGAGGGGAGGGTCTGGTTAGTGTTAAACACCTTTAACTGTGTATTCCTTAAAATAGTGACAATGTGCCAAAATGAACAATTAAGTTATGCTCGAGACTTCCATCTTGTGATAATTAAAGTGGGCAAGGGCCAGTTACCTAGCAAGGATACGAATCAAGGGTGAATAATGTGATTCTTTTAGTATGAAATATGCGATTTTGTTTGAAAATTTCGCCACAAGACAGCCTCGTGTTTTTATTTTATTTTTTCAAAATAGCACACTGTTAGACAACTCACTTTACTCGTTATCTACGATGGCACAAATAGCGAGTAACATAGCCAATCAGAATGCAGCAGCGCAACCCAAGCAGATATATATATATATATAATGAATATAGCGTCTAACCAGATTATGTTGATGAGCCTCCTCGATCCACTTCAAATTATCCTCATATTGCGCCTGGACATTAGCGGGCACTGAAACCAAGGAAAAATAATAAATACCCTAAAATCAAACCCGTTAAAAGTGAAGCCAACAAACAAACAAACAAATGAACTTGAACTTACATCCTTCCGCAATAATTTCTCGGAAGACTTTTTTGGCAATCTCGTCTGTTGTCGCTAAATCAGCTGCCAGGCCTGTTGTGCAGACCCACCTGTGGAATGAAATAAGATGAATTACATCAATAATGATAACGCTAATGATAATAAGCGCATTTGATCATATCCTAATGTATGTTAATTTGCGCTATATAAATATTAAATGTTATTATTAAATATTATTAATAATGATAAGTTGCAGCTAAATTGCAAGAGTCATCGCTCGTGATTTTTGATCATTGTCGATACATGTGTAACACCTTGTAATTAACTCACCTGAACGGCCCAAATCCCAAAGAAAATATATCCCTAAGGAAAAAAAGAAAAAAGGAAATCTTGTTTATGAACCAAAGAATAGCACAATAACGTACCCTGAGATGGACAGAAAGGAAGGAAAAAGATTATTCATATATGGTACATATACCAAAGATGAAAATGAGGAACTCTTAAAGATTGATGCATATCAATCACCAGTGCACCATTCGCGAAGAAATATGACAAGACTGCAGCTATCTATGAGAATTGAATTGCAAATTGCTTCTTATTTGGGTTTCTCTTGCATGCCACTAAACTGCTTGAATTACCAATAATATTACCATTTTGAAGGTTTTGAGAATAATCTTTCGTGTTAATAATTATTTATCATGAATCATACCCCATAATATCTTGTACATAAGAGGGGTAACGGAAAACGCCCGGTGGAGCACTCTCTTTGTTGACATCAGCTCCTGTGCAGATAAGAAAAAACAGGAAAGGGAAAAATCAAGATTGATGGAAAAGGAAAAATCTAAAAAAACATAGGGAAAACATAAATTAAGAGGGAAAGCAATTTTAATCAGTGGCTATGGTGTCCACACTCACCTGCACGACTTGCCTCTAAAAGGAACGCATTTCCATAATCCCAAAAGAACATCCCACCACCAGTGAGTTTATTAATCGCTGCCACTTGTCGACGTAAGCTGAAATGGTACAATAAACAGTAACTATCCAAGTACTACTTCTAACCATTTTCAAACCAACTACTATTGAACTTAGAGCTTAGCAGCCACCTTCGGGGCAACATTTATTCATCTTTTGTCGTTACTTTGGGCAAAATATAGAACCACACCGTCTTTATTGTATCAGGGACATTACAAAATTTAAGAAACGACGACGGCGACGCCGTGGACAACGTCAGTTAAAAAATGAGCTTAAGTTTTACTAAAGAATCTCGCCAAAGTCATTTAGTTTGTTTCTCACTGTCAAAACTATCTCGAAACTGAATATGGAACGCAGCGTTAAATTAGAGATAGAAATTTAAAAAATTAGCCTTCGTCGACCACGTTTTCCAGAGAACGCAGAGTTTGGTCATTTCACGTTGTTGTTTTGCAGAGGGCGCATAGAAATTTACAAATATTTATAACGCACGTGGATAGCCACTGCTCTTCTCATTAAACCTTTTGTTTAGTGACGTTCTCGGCGTGGTTTTCTTCAACTCCTTTTAAGCAAACCACGACGGCGACGGTAACGTGGCAAAACAAAAAACCTAATGGCTAAAACAATGACTCAGCACGTGCGTTTTAAAATTTTGTACATTTCTTAGCCGTCCTCTGCTAAACAACAATGTGAAATCATCAAAATATGCATGGTCTGGAAACGGAAACCCCGTAGTTTCCATTTGGAAGTCAACGCTGCTTATAAACGTTATGCTGAAGTTGAGGTGTTTCGCCGTAAGAGACGTAAACACATGCAGCCATTCGCGAATTCTATTTAAAAATAGACATTCAATTTTTTTAAAACGATGTCTTTCTCGGCATTGTAGTTCCGACTGCCTAGGGTCTGTTGAGACTATTACCGCGCTATATCAGTCTAGGAAAACTTCATGTACCAAACTAGTGATTTCTATAACGCAAGTGTAAAATGGGTCGCTAAAATAGACAAAGGTAGAATCGAAAAAGCAAGAACAGCAAAGCCAAAGCATGAGAAAACAAAACCCACCGTACAAACATAAAATAAGTGAAGTAAGTTTATTTTATAGCGACAAAATTTGGCAATAAACAAGTGAACGGCTGTACAGCTTGAAGCAGAAAGAAGCTCATTTTCTCACCTCTCTTGGACGAGAGCTTTGAATCTTTCTGGTTCCCGTTTCATAATTCTTTTAGCTTCCTCAAAGGTTACCTAGATCAACCAACGTTTGAAAGAAGCTTCATGAATTTACGAAATGTATCAACGAAAAACACATGAGTAGCAAAATCAGATTATAAAAGGCAAGACGAGATCTAGAGAAAGAGATTTTCTTTCGAGCTGATACTAACCTGAACAGGGTAGTAACCTCCATTGAAGGGATTATGAAGTGATGTTTGATCCGAGCCCAGCTCCACAAGAAGATCGCCAGTCTTTTCATATTCTTGTTCAAGACGCTCCCTGTAAGCAAGCAACAAAGAAGTACTTAAGGATAGTTTTAAAGGGCTTGAAAAACAATCCGGAGTTGCACTAGTTTTGGGCGAGCAGAACTTGCGCCATTTTCACAACCCATCAAATACGAAACTAAATCCATTCGCGAATTTGTCACTTGCTTTTTAACACGCGTCAAATAGTTTGCTGAGTATATTTAAATTTGAGCTCTCATTTAACCCTTAAACTTCCAGATCCAATTAGTAATTCTCCTTACTGTCAGTCAAAAAATTCTTACGATGTTAGTTTAGAGAATTCAGTATTGGATCTACTTATTATCCCCAAATTGATATTTTTCTTTATTCTCACTATTCAATATTGTATTGACGTTGTAAGGAGAAATTCTGTCTTGGTCACCCATGGGAGTTACAGGGTTAATCAAGTTCTTTCAGGAAGCGCCCTTTATATCCTCATGAAAAGCTCGTAAAACATGGGAAAGGATTTATGGAGGGAAATCTCGACAAAGATTTTCATTTCTGACTCACGACCGTATACTGAAAAGGTCTCTGACTACTAAAAATATCACTTCAAAAACGAGACGAACAAAGAAGTTTAGGAAAGACAAGAATATGTACCACAAGTCGACAACATTGCCATGATATCCCAAGCTGCAAGGCTTCTTCGACTCTCGCGCTTTCCTGAAAAAAAATTAGCGTAGTCATTTACGTTAAGAGAGAAAACAGTTTAAATACTCTTGGGTGGAGAGAGGTCCAGTGATAGTTTAGCGCACAACACAACCCCGGCCAGAGCTCTCGATTCTATCTACAATCGCAGACAACACCTGTTGAGTGAATTTGTCCAAAGACATATGATAGCTTCACTATTCGAAATCTTACTGTCCGACATGGAAAAAAAATTCTCCGATCTCCCTGATCAATTTTGTCGTATCTTTTTTTACCGCCACCATGTGATTTCCCCTTAAAACAAAATCGAAAAAAGGAGCTCAGGAAGAATAAAATTTATAAACCCTTAGTTATCTAAAAGAGTTATTTGCTTTTTTAAGTGCCGTGTGTAGCACGTACCTGATCATCTCCACACATTGGTCAACATCGGATGAGTATTCCATGAGCCACCTGAATAAAAAAAAAAAACAAAAAACAAAGAGCATCCCCATCATATATCACTTAGCAAAACTCAAAGTTGCCTGGAACGAGGTACTTTAATAGCACATGTCACCGTTTGGGCACTTTGACACAGAATCTCTCGTGTGCAAGTCTTCTTGGAACGTTGAATATTTTTTGGTCCGCTAATGCGGTGACAAAAAGCCTGGACCAATAATACCATGAGGAAAATCTTACCCTTGTTCGTGTCTTTTCTTTAATGCAGCTTCATCGACCTGAAGATAGAGTTAAAAACAGCGATTCAGGGCGACCAATAAAGACTTATGGTCAGTCTCCCTTAAGTTCACGGATAACAAATTGGCGGCTGAACAGAACAGCGAACAGGAAGAAAATGTTCGGACGACCTGACAAAGAGACTGTTGGAGCGATGTAAAGAGTAGCCTGTTCCCAGCGTTCCGTTAGTAAAACGGCGCAACAGTGGCTACAGAGCGAAAAAAAGAAAAAAGGGAAGCAGGTTTGTGTCTGTTCGCATACGGTTCTATACTAAGCTCTTATTTAATATAAGTTTCATTCTAGACGCCACAAAAACGTCTGAGTCAAATCACCACCAGTGGCGATTTGACCTTCAGTTGTGGCGAGTTTGTTGTGGTGACGAGTTGACCGGAAACCAGACGAATGGGTGGATAAATGGATAGACGAAAGAAGGAGGAAATGAACTTTTACACAGGAAACGAATAATAAACAAAAACGAGATGTAAAAGTACAAGAAAAGAGCAAAGGCCAAGGAAAGTCGTGCGAATTTGTAACGAGCGCGGACCAACAAAAAAATCTGTCTGCCTCGTAAGGATTCGAGCCTTTGCGGTTTCTGATTTCGCTCGGAAAGGTAAACGTAGAGCTCTTGGATAGATACACTAGAGAGTTTAAGATACCTGGACGGCTGACCTCGAGGACGTTAACATTGAGCACGAGGGACTACCTTGGCGGGAAACTTTTCACGTTAAGGAACAGATTTCAAGCTGAGGACGACAACGTTTTGTTCATCATGACATCTTTAAGAAAGACTCGTGAAATGATTGTTATTGCTTACGCGGAAGGGCTATTGACGGATGAAGAGTTTAGAGTTTCGAGCTCCGAAGTGGGTTCCACGTCAATCCCCGACGAATTTTCCTCCTCTCGAATTTTACGCTTAAACTTTTCCTTGATCAATTTGAATCGCTCTCTTACAGATCGCTTGTTTACACGGAATTTGGCGGTCTCACAGGTATTAAGGTGATTCGAAATTTCTTCCCAAATTTTGCCTCTTTCGACCGTTCTTTCTTTGAATTTGTATGGCTGACAGACGAGTATTTCCCGGAAGAGAAGGAGATCGTGCTCTTCCTTCCATTCCATGCTCGCTAATCCTGTAAATAAAGAGAAGGCAGATAAACAATTTCTCTGATTTCTCGCTCCTAACTGACCAAGGGAAAAGCATTTGGACCGTGTAGATTAAAGTTTAATACAAGATAAGACATCTTTCACTCAGAGGATAAGCGGGTTCAAGTGCTAGGGACTTTTTTTTTAGTAAAGCAAGAAAATTTAACGCACGTGTTCAGTCGAAATGCTCCACCGTGGCTGTGCACAGTGCACATCACTTTTACAATTTTAATCAGCTTGTCAGTGGTTTTATTGCCCAAAACAAAAAAGTGACAAACAATGTTCACCTAATGAAGTTCGAAAATCTAAAAACATGCGGAAGTTTATGGGGAAATAATAGTAACAGTACTCACGTTGACTGGTGGACGGCAAAACACCACTTCTCACGTCCTCGACACAAACAGGACTGCAATCCGCGTGGACCAGGCATGCGCATTGTGGTCTACACGCGAAATTTACTTCCGGTCAGCCGTCCTCGAGGTCAGCCGTCCAGGTATCTTAAACTCTCTACTGTATCTAGGTGGACTGAGGTACAGATGAATGGAATGGGAATGAGAAACTGAATGCCGAGATGGACTTCTGGATTGGAGGACAGATGATCAGAAAAACAAGCGAGAATTGACCGATTTAGAAAAGCGCATTACAATTCTTGTGTTACGGTAATGCAAAGTACCTCTGCCACTACACCAATACAACCAGCAATCACAGCCGCTTTAGCCTGGGCTCCGCTCATTCCACCAAGACCGGCGGTGACAAAAACCTAATGTACGGAGTACAAGAAAAATAAACTAAAAATGAAATAAAATCATTAAACATCGATCTTCAAAGTCATGTAAAATTGATAAAAGATAAATAAAGCAGTGTAAATGTACTACTCAGTGAATTAGGTACCTTTCCCTGAAGATCATTGACTCCTAGATGTCGCCTTCCAGCGTTCAACACAACGATCTGGAATCAAACAGTCATCATTATCATCAAAGTTTATGGATTGCTTTAGTACATGTCCATTCGATTACAAAATAGGTTGTTGCATAACAGTCATACAATGGTAAAAATTAAGTTCAATGAATGAACCACATTGTACCTCAAGGTTCCGTCAAACGCTCACAGCATTTCAACGAAACTTATTGCAACATTCAACGATTGGATTGTGTTGTGAGATGTGCAGGAGCTGACCAAAAGCGAACAACATCAAAAATATTGCAACAAAAATTTGACCATTTTCAAACTTGATTCAACCCCATCCAAAATGTTGCAACATGTTTCCGTCCTTTGCAAAACAACAACGTGAAATCACCAAAATTTGCGTCGTCGGAGAGCGGAAACCCCGACGGCAAAAAGTTCAATTTCCCATTGGAAATCGAGTCGACGCTGTTTACATCCATTTTGCAGAAGGTAAGGTGTAGCGCCGAATTAGGAGACAGTAAACGCATCAGGCCATTTGTGAAATTCTAGCTTAAAATATCGATTCATTTTTATTAATCGAAGACTTCCGTTCCCAACCAGGCTGCTTAACCTTTTTACTTCTAAGATCTGATTGTTAATTCTCCTTTCTAGCTGCTACACATTTCCTTGCTAACTAGTTATGAGAATTTGGTGATAGATCAAGATTGCAATTTCTACCTCACAAGTTTGAGTATTCTCATTACCTGTTTGCTGGATAATGTATGGATATTAAAGGGAGAAATTACATGTTCATCACGTCCAGGAGTTAAAGGATTAAGGTCCGAATTTATTCAGGGAAAGAAGCGGTCCAAAAAACAAGGTTTAAATGGGGGCACAAACCGATAACGATGCTTTTTCAGAAAATAAAAATTTGTCTACTGTTTTGTCTCGGATTGCAATATGAGAAATGGACCATGGCAGAGGTACATGTATCTATGTTTGCTTGAGTGCCGCTGGTAGAGTTTTGCAAGTTACTTGAAGCTAGAATTCAATGATTTAAGTATTGCTTACTGTTGTTCCATGAACAATCCCCTGAGGTCCAATGTAACAGTAACTTCCAGCCGTCATCTGACCATACATTGTCACTCCCAGTGCGAAGAGTTTGTCATACATGTCTCTTGAAGAGTAGTTAGGGATAACCTGGATAAATTTAACAGGCAACAAAATAAATTATTACCCTTTAACTACCAAGATTTCATTAGTAATTCTCCTTAATGTCTGGCACTTAATTCATATGATGTTAGTTTGGAGAATTTGGAATTGGATCAACCAATAATCCCCTAATTGATTTTTTCTCATTACTTGTCTGCTTGAAATTGTACTGATAATGTGAGGAGAAATTCTGTCTTGGTCACTAGTAGGACTTAAAGGGTTAACAGATTAGAGCATGTTGACTGGCCTTGGCCAGAGTAAACTCAGTCGCAGCACCCTTTACTAAAAAATCATAATCATAATCACAATATAATCTGCTTTAATTACCATTCCATTAGTAATAACAGCTCTTGGAGCAGAAGGACTGCTGGGAAACAATCCCTGTGGGTGCCCTGAACACATGATGAGTGTCTGCTCTTCTGTCATCTCTGATAAGTAATGCATCACAATCCTGAACTAAACAAAAGGACACAAAGTTTCTGTCAACCACAAGTAGATGCTTCAATCATTTATATCAAACATGAAATATCAGACTTAAGTTGAAAACCTCTGATTGAGTCTGCATTGCATACCTGAGCCCAATTTGAGAAGACCTGGCCATTGCCTCCATATGTTACAAGCTCATGAGGGAACTAAAAAGGAGAAAATGCCAGTAGAAAATAATAATTAAGATCTGATAGATCTGACTGTAGTGTGTGCATAACATTTGGGAGTTATGCCGCAGTGAAACTTGGGCCATGTAACACAGAGAGCATGTTTGCAGTTGTGTGATTGGGTGTGCAAGGTAACTTTCTGTTGCTTAAGTTTGTGCCTCAGTGAATGTTTAGAAATATAACAGTTAACCTAAGCTTATCCCAGTTTCTACGACACAAAGTGAATCTTAAATGAGATGCTAGTCCATTATGGGGCACACCCTTCCCCCTTAATCTAATTATTAATTCATCACTTTTTCATTGGCAGTTCACCAACCATTACCTAGCTATTTACATGTATAATTCCGTGTAGAGAGAGGCCCTGTGTGAAAGAGAAATATCTTTCCCATGGAGAGCTTATTAAGGTGGTTAGGGCTTGACCTCTGAATTATCAATGTGCAATCCAGTGCCACCATGACAAGACTGCCATTCTGAAACAGCAGCACCATTTTGAATGTAATATATGAGCTTACTTGGGCTACTCTGGGATCTAAATTGTTCATTATCATCAGCATAATAGCAGCAGCTTGTCTGGACCTCGCTGGATATTCATCAATAGGATAAGCCCTGAATAGATATAAAACATGATATAAATTCAAAAAAGAAAAGTTAATCACTGACAATAACTGTCAAAATTTGTATACCATTCTGTATTCAGGCACTTGTAATTGTAAAATCTAGACAAAGTCTCAATATAACTTATTTTTATTTTGCATGAAAATTTCTAATGCAAGCAAAAGTTACATGAATGTATGGGAAATTTATTAGAAAAGCATCTGAAAAATATCATGATGATCCCATTCATATGCTGTTTAAGACATCTACATATGAAAAGCATAGCCTTATAATTGCACTTTAGACCCTCAGGGGCAATTTGTGACTGAACCAACACCCTGAAATTGTTACACTGTTTCTAAATTTTTTTACATACCAGTATACTTTTTAATTTTTTGTATTTTTCTTTAATGGTTAGCAACCAATTGGGATTATTGACTAATATTGTCAGGTAATCAGTAAAAAATTCACATTAAAATTCTAAAATACTTGGCTAATGTTTGCAGTTATGGACAAACTTCCATTGATTATAACATAATATTGTATACTTACCTCATTTGAATGTCAGGTCTAAACCGATACATGTAAATGTGTCCATACTGTCTCAACTCTGCAGCAAACTCTGGGGCAAGAACACAGTGGCATGTATGTGGAAAATATCTCAAGGCATTCTGCAGTGCTAACTGTAAATGAAAAGACAAAATGTCAAACTTACCACTTATGCAATAAAAATCTGTATTCCTTCACAATCCTATGCATTCTAAAATCACCTGATTTAATGCTCATTCGTTTTTGTTTTATGTTGTTTTTGTTTTAAGTTTTGTTTGCATATTTTGTGTTATCATTCAAACCCTTTCCTCTCTGACAAAATAATTTTTAGGTTTGTACAAAATATGGACAATCCTCTTTGATTCCCTCTCAACTCTTTCAATTTTCTGAGCTTGCCTGGGATGAACATATAACAAATATTGCAATCTCTGACACATCTGGTTTGTGCCTAGGATAAAGGGGTAAGTTTCTGAAGAAACTGTGGTGCTGCTTTGGTTGGAGAGTAAAACAAGATAATTTGGTTTTATTAACTGATTTGATGTTTCCAGCGTTAGTCCTTTGTTAGAGCAAGAAGCAAAGGGCTAATGGTAAAAACATCAGCTTTACAAACTCTTTTCAGTAGCCAATTTACATTATCAACTCAGTTGATAAAATTAATTTATCTTGTTAAACCTAATCTAGTTTCCATGCCATCAGGCAGTATCACAACTCCTCCTGGATAAGAAGCCAGTCAATTGCAGGTTATAACCCCCTCTCAGCAATTAAACTGTCATTTATAGGTGAAGGGAATATCTGTGAGAGTGAAGTGTCTAGCCCCAAAGCATAAAAGAATGGTCTACCATGGTCAAACACTGTACAAATATCTGTGGAATTCTTGGAGTCCAGTGCCCTTACTGTTTGGCCACAGCATCTCCACTATTCACTTAACAATAGGATTTAGGCCTTTGTTTAATATTATGTCACAATGAAATCTATCTTATCAATATCATATTGTTGTCGTGAATTAGCAAATGACAATACACTGTCATAACAATTTTTCATCTGAAATAACTGTTTACATCAAAATTCCATGATTTCAAGAGAGTACAATGTAAGGAGGATAAAAACTTCTGGAAAAAAAACTTGACAAAGAATTCTGACTATACAAACTAACATGCTTAAGGGTGTTGTCCTTAGGTGTCGGTCACTTTGGCAATCAATATTTAAAGCTATTTTCACTGCTCAGTTTTTTAAGTAATTTTTTGGCATGCTGGAAGTCTATTAATGATGGTATCTGCATCAAAAAAAGACCCTTTAATTTTCTCTTACTTTTACAAAAAGAGTGAGTGTAACAATTTAATTTCAACATTCACATGCAATTTTAATTTCTTGTTTTTCTACACTTAATGCATGCACTTTGTCAACTTTCCAACACCTGCTCTTATTTAACCCTTTACCTCCCAGATCAAATTTGTAATTCTCCTTACTGTCAATCATACAATTCTTATAATGTTAGATCAGAGAATTTAGTATTGGATCAACTAATTATCTCCAAATTGATATTTTTCTTTATTCTTACCACTTATCTGGTTGATATTGTACTGATATTGTAAGGAAAAATTCTGTCTTGGTTACTCATAGGAGTTAAAGGGTTAAAATGATTACAATAATCTATTTTTACAATGATTTATTGACATCAATATTTGTCATGAAATTAACAAAATGATAGCATTGATACTCGATTGTGACAACGTTATTTGCATGGTGAAGGCAACGATCGATTAAATTGGAATTAAATGGAAATCTTATATAGTAAAGATGGATAAAATTAGTGGTCTGCGCCTTCTAGACTTTGGGTACACAAGAGAGCGTGTGCAAAAATAATCTATTCCAGAACAGATATTACATTTTCTCCAAAATGATTAAAACGCATAATTACATGTAAGTGTGACTTTTTAATGCTCATGTGATACTCCGTCAAAAAAATAAGCTTCGTCGATCAATAGTTAAAGCTTGAGCGTTACATAACAGAAATCCATGCAAATGCAAGCGGTTAGGAGAGAGAATGTTACCACAAAGATCTCCTCAAGATCTTCTTATCCTAAAAGATTTCAATCACAGAAAAAAAAAGGCATACCCTCCGTTCATCTGCAGTAAGATTTACAGTCCTAACAGGCGCATGGGGAACAGAATTGTCACGTTCTCTCGGCGGTGGGAGCGGATCAACTGGAAGACTACAGCACAAGTCCTTCAAAGACGCCATTGTTGCTTGAGATCATAACAAGCACTACAAGTTGCCAGCGAACTGTCTTTTTTAATACATGCGCAACCCTGTTTTTGGAGGTGTGTTTGGAGGCACGTCCGGAGGCGTGTATACAATATGATTGGTTAAAATTTTAGCTTTTGTTATGGTTACTTCATATGGCATCAATATTCCCGCCGTCTCCGTGTCTCGAGTTGCGTGGAAACGAAATTTTGGCGGAATTTGCGTGTTTTTAAGCCACCACAGTGTTCTAGAAACGCTTACTTAAGCGAAAGTTCATCTTTATCCGCCCAATCGATATTAATACTTTATGATAATTGCATCAGAAAACGGGAAAAACAAGAATTCAACTATTGTGCCCTTGTGATGATATCATTTCTTTTGGCCCAAGACTCTGTTGACCTTTACCTTATCTTCGAAAACAACTCGCACGAAACGAATTTATCGTCGTGATAGCTTAATACTTCCTTTGTTTTGAACAGAGCAGTCAAGAGCAAAAACTATGAGAGTGTCAGTTCGTTTTAACGGAAAGTGGTTTGTTGTTCCATGCGGGGAAGGCAAAACTTCAATCCAGTGGCTTATCGAGGAGACACTTCGACGAGCGTGCGACACACATGACTCAGAAAAATGTGCGAAAGATTTCGAAGCTACTTTGGCTCAAAGTGGAGGAAGTTTGCATCCAAATGATTCCATTTATGAAGTTCTAAACGACAGCGACTTTGTTCATATTTTCGGTAAATAGTTATTGATTAATTGAGTTGATGCCGGCATGATGCAATTTTTGTTTGTCATATGAGACGTGTGTTTGACCAAATGTTCTATCATGCCCTTAAAAAGTGAAGCACAGAACGTAACCGAAGGGTTTCACGTGCATTACGCTCGCTTCGAACTCGTGCAGTTTTCCAAACAGGTCGTTTGATCGAGATTCTCAGGTTTTTAGCAAGTTTCAAGATATCGAATTCTAATTTCGGTGAAGCATATGCCGGACAAATGATTTACAGCTCATTTCAAATGAAAGAAGCATTCTTTAAGCAGTCGACGTAAGCTGATATATGTTTATAGAAAAAAATCGTAGCTCTGCCTGAATTGTTGTTTTCATTATTGTTCAGAAAATTTTTATACACCGGTCGTAATAATTCACTGTATAGTTTATTGAGAGTTCTTTTCAGAGATGTACTGAAGTTTAAGGGCTGTTAATTTTCAGTAAAGGTGACTGTGGTGTTAGCAACCTTAGTGGAGTCAAGTGAGAAGCTTTTTGTGTAACTTAAGTTTGGTTTGCGACTAAGGTTTCAAGTTATTATCGATTGGGTTAAGCAAGATCAAATAATGATGGTCTAGTAGAGCTTGAGAAGACTGATTGATTTTTCTATGAAACTGACCTAGCATTGAGTAGTTCCAATCTGATGCTAAAGTCATGCACTGTTTTGCTCAGTCAATACATGCCAGTCGTGTAAATGAGAGGTTTCTTTTAAGTGATTATGTATTAAAAACCTTTTGAGCTGATTCTGTAAATACTCAAACAAATTAAAGTAGTTTGACATTTACAGGATGTCTACAGCATGGATTAAAAAAAAAAGCTGGTTATTGGAAGTCTACAGTAACCCGTAAAACCTCTCATTGCCTTTTTTTAAGCCTGCAAGCAAGTTCTCATGTTTGGATTCCACCTTACAACACAGCTGTCTTTTACACTATCTGTAGCCATTCATAAAAAAAAGGTTCTTGAAATCTCTGCTATAGGGCTATAATGGTGAATGAGGATCCACCAAATAATTTGTGAAATGTTACCCGACCATTGTACCTGATACACTACCTAATACACTGATCTATGTATTTCAACATACATCTCCAGACAATACAATATCAAAAGTAATTTGCATTAATTCAAGTTATATTCAATCATGTTTTTTACAGAAATTGGAGCCACAGGAGAGAATGACCATAACTCACCAGATGTTATTTTGTATCCTTGCTAAATCACATTGATATATATTTTAACCCCTTATTCCCTAACATCAGAGTGCAAATTCTCCATACTGTTCTTTATGCATTTCCTAAGATGCCAAAGGAGAGATTTTGTGTAATCAGGAGCTTCTTTAGTCGGTGATCATTTCCTTTATTCATGTGAGCTTAATATGTGATTCAGGGGTGATATTGTAAGGAGAAATTAGATGCTGGTCACTCTTAGGAGTCAACAGGTTAAATGAGTTTTTGTTTGCTTGTTTAGATGTGGCCTCAGTGCACTTTATTTTGTGCATAGAATGTTAGATTAAGTTCTGTATGCTACTAATCACATAGTATCTTAGTTTGAAATGGATTCTGTACCAAGAGTTCCTGGTTCTGATTCATGTCAATTTGTGATGCTTCACTCTAACAGGGTCCTCCTTCATTCATAATTTTAACTAGATAAAAAATAACATTCTGCCAGTTAAAACAGAAGGAATAACCTGTAATGGATTACATATGGGGCCAATCCATAAGTTTGTCTCTGCCGGGTGGGGAAGGCCTGGATGGGGGAAGCCTTGGGTGGAGAGGAGGGAGCTGGATGAATCAGGGTCCTAGCTTCTTGTTATCTCCACTGGGGTGGAGGAGGGCAAGACCCAGATGGGCAAAGCCTTGGGTGGAGAGAGGAATCCTGATGGTTCTAACACCAGCCTCTTTTATGGATTTATGACCATACCAGGATGTTATATTTTCATGAATGATTCCTTTTTTTCTAGATCAGAAATTTTTTTTGAAATAAAGGGGGTGCATTCATTTTTCAATGTAGCTATACAAGACTGTTTTGTGGCTGTTAGAGGAGTTGGAACTTAACTTCATCAAATTTTGCAGAAGTGGAAAGGTGGAAAAGGCTTTTGAACATGAACAGGTAAACTGAATACTCACCAAAACTACTTGATTGGAAAAATCGTCTATTAAAAATAAACGATTGATTTAATATTATATTTTAAATAAATCATTTGGTGTACAGTGCTATTAACTCACTTTCTCCTTATTTGTAACACTTACAGAAATGAAGTGAATTGATGCAAATGTACACTTTGTGGGAAACAAACCAAATACAAAAAAACCTAATAATACTATTGAACTTGTGAAGGATTAAATAATGACCAAAAAAGACAAAGAAACGAAATGAATGTGGTTTACAAACGCTAAACGATCACCAGTTTGTTAGTGCCTTTCTAAGTGACTATGCTCGCGGATACTTTCCCGTCAACCTTTTTATATTAACCTTGCAGTTTGTAGAGCTTGATGGCTGTTCGTTGTCCACTGAAACTCTTGTTGCTTTGGGAAATGGCGAGTTTAAAATAAAGGTATGTTTAAGCTGCATATAGCAGAGTTTCATTAAAACTCTGTTAACGGTGGCCTACCGCCACATACAAGATCACTTACCGCCGTTCGTTTAGCAGGCGAGCAAGTTTCTCTTATTTGGGTTTCGTCTTACGACCTTTTCCGGACACAGCCGCGCCTATTAATCCTCTGGCAGCTGCTTATCAAAAAAGCTATTTACGCCCTTGCCATATGGTAGACTTGTTAACGGAACCTTCAGCGACTGGAAATTCTTGTGAGAAAATTTTGTAAAGCTCTTTATCGGAAAGAAATGGTAATAAACGTTTTAAGTTGCAGTTGCTGTTATTGCTTTTTTGGGGATTTTTTTTATATTGAGCCGATGAACTTTGTGTGCGATTTTTGGATTCTTTCATCTATAGACATCGGCTGTCGGCATTCCCAAGATTAATGTTTCACAAATAAAAAAAAAAAAAAAAAGAAAGAGTTCGTTGTCTGCGGTCATGGTTATTATTGAGAACTGCTATAAATACTTTCGTCGTGAGAAAGTCATTTTTTTTACCATTTAGATTAGCGAAACTATTACTAAATGCAATTTCTGACGGTTGAGTGACTAGGAACGAATTAGTCAGAAATTACTATTCTGATGGCACAATTGAGAGGTTTTAGTATTCTCAGGGGAGAGTTTTGAGTATTTAATGTTTTAGCGGGGAATATTAATCATTCTAGCTCAGTCAGTCTTTCTGTTTGCTGTTGTCAATTTAGTTAAATTTTTTCTAAGGAGTTATGGGTTTGTTTGTACCTCTTCCCCGAGGTTCCGTGCCACTGCATTAGATGGGGAATACGTTTCCACATATTTTTTGGCCACATCTAAAGAGTGGTTTTTTAGTGGTTTTTCGTATCTGGCGTGGTACACTTAATTTTTCAAGCTTTTCAAGTTAGACTTGCTAGCATATTCTATGTTGTAATAAGTATATGTTACGACACATTGTTGTTGTCGGATGACTGACTGACCATTCCTCAATAAACTATTTCACATTGAATGTTTCGTGATAGTGTAGTCAGAATAAGATAATTTTAAGTATTTAATCGTTTGCTAATAGAGCTGTTTCAATACTGACCTAAATCAAAATGTCCCACTATTTTGTGCAGCCAAAATAAAGATCTGTGTTGCATGTTTATGTGTTTATTTCTACTTCCTCGTCGTTCTCCTTTTTGCTTTCTTGTTTACTCCTATTTGTTTCTTTGTTTGGTTGGTTGGTTTCCTTTCAGCTTTCGAAAGAAGCTGAAAATGCGGTGAACAAATCAAGGGGATTATTGGACGACATTGTTCGAGAAAATAAAGGTAATATTCTCAGCAACGCGTATTAAAACTAGTTGTTTTAATCGTGGTTCAAAGAAATTACCTCACACAATAACGAGGGGTAAATTTGGAAACGTACCAGCTTGACACTTACAGGCATTTACATGAATTTATGATAGGCAACAAAGAAAATCATCTGGAGGTGCGTACACTCTTTCAAAAGCCCAAAACATGGCATTATCGTACGGCTCAGTTGGCACAGATTCATTGCATCATTGACAAACAATCTGTTCCTGCAAGTGTTCCTTCGTTTGCGCGGAATTCGCAGGTCGTAACCACTGTATTTAGAAAGTTTGTTTCGCCTTACGGGAAGATGAATCATACATAGATTTTTTTCCCCCGTTGGCCAGCAAGGGACTGTCACATCTAAATCTCTCATTCACTCTGTAGTCGGTTGTCCTATTTCTCGTCAGTTACATGTATTTTCTTTTCTCGAGACCCTCGCCGTATCCAAATCTTTACAGAGTAAATTATAGAGTTTTAATGAAGTGGAGAACTTAAAAGTCAACCATTTTTAAACTCGTCTGACAGATCGTGTGGTCATTTTTAATTTCTTCATTCTAATAATTTTTTTTGTATCCCGTATTTAGTGGCGTATGGCGTGACAACGGGCTTCGGAATGTTTGCAAGGGTAGTAGTCCCTACAGAAAAACTTGAGTGAGTATCATTCGTCTGAAATACCCACTTCAGATTGAAAGAGATTACACAATATCGTATTATTCGTTCACTACCATGGCGTGTTAGGGAACAAATAATATCTTCTCAGCTGTGAGAGTTCTGAATTAACAGGCAAGTTTTGTTTCTCTCAATTTCCCTTTGCCCACCTGTTGAAAAATCATTTTCTTTACGATATATTTATTGATTGATTACTATCCTATTACGGTTTTTTTATTTAAGGGAACTGCAAGAGAATCTCATAAGATCGCACGCTGCAGGTAATAGAGTACTTTAGAATTATTGCTCACGTGAATATAAAGATACGCGAGCTCTGATTGGCCGAGAACTACCCACCTTGCGTGGGTGAGTATTTCAAGATCATGGACTTACCAGGTTCGCTGTTATTTTAGTTTCTTGAACAAGACGCTTCCCTTTGACGGTTCCCTTTCTTTACCCAGTTCACACCACAGAACTTGTTGTTGATGATGTATGTTTTCCTCAACCTTAGGTGTGGGCAGACCCTTGTCAACGAAGCACACAAGGATGCTGTTTGCTCTGAGGATTAACGTTTTAGCGAAAGGCCACAGGTTGGTGGAACGTGCTTTGCGCGCTTGAACTTGTTTTGCTGATACGTTTAACTCTGCAAGGCAACGGAAGTAACAAGGTCCGTTTGCAATTTTGCTAAGGATTGTAATTAAACTACTGTGCCATGCGTGCGGTACTGGCGAGCGATCGTCTACAAATGGATGGAAAAACGCGATGGTTTGCGTATATGTTGTTTTATAAAGTGATTCCTCGTTGACGGGGACGTTGACACTGATTCCTATATCGGTGTTTTTCCATTGCGTGGTTGTATTCTACTCAGGGCAACTTAGATTGTTTTTGTTTCTGCTTATGTTTTGCTTTTGTTTGTGTTGTATTATTGTTTGCTTGTTTGTTTTCTTTTTTGTTTGTTTTTTCGCTTTTGTTTTTTGGACTGTTTGCTTTTGTGAGCAACTGAACGACTCGATTACAAAGACAGTGGAAAATGTTCAAATTGCAAAATGGTTTGCTCAGCTACGTAAAGGTCATTCAGGGTAATTCAATTGAGTGCATACACCTGAGTTGGCAAAATCCCTCCCTCCCCCCCTCCTCCACCATTAATACGCTCACCGCCTTCGCTGCACGTCATTTAACCAGTTGACTTTTTAATTTTTGCATCTGTTAATTTTCCAGTGGAGTCTCAGTCAAGACGTTAGAACAGATCGTGGCAGCCTTTAATGGTAAGATTGGTAATATATTTTAATAAATAGCAGCGTATAACCTTTAGATGCTTTTGTTGGTACTTAGCTGTTCTAGGACGCAGTTTTCCTTAATTTTTTTTCATAATCCAAAGCCTGTCTGCGGTGGACTGGTCATGTTTAGCCCTTTAACTCCCAGAAATGATCAACACACAAATTCTCCTTAGAATATCCATACATTATCCAACAAACAGGTCATGAGAATATCAAACTTATCAGGAAGAAGTTGCAATCTTGATCTAACACTAAATTCTTGTAACTAATTCACAAGGAAATGTGTAGAAGCTAGAGGGGAGAATTAACAATAAAATCTTGGGACTGGGACAAGCTTCGGTTCGATGGCCCACTCAGCTTTAGTGCAGACCTTACCTCTCACCTTCAGTATTAGTTCCAAGTCTTGCACGTGTATGCAAACCCCTCTCACACTCTCTATTATCAGAGTCGTGTCTTCCATGGATTCCTGAGCAGGGTACTGTGGGAGCAAGCGGCGACTTAGCCCCTTTAGCTCATCTGGCGCTTGGTTTACTGGGGGAGGGGCAGATGTGGAGTCCTAAAAGTGGCTGGGCGGACGCGGCTTTGGTAAGTGAAAGAAATGCAGGAGCTTTTTTACAAAAATTTTGATTGTAGTGAAGCTTAGGTTTTTCCATGTAAGCACCTTGAAAAAGTAATTGAAGTGATGATAATAATTATGCGATAAATCACGATTTCTATCGGTTTACCGGCAAATAAGCCACACTGGATGTTGGGAGAACACTCGACAAGTTAGTAAACAACGAGGCGCAGCCGAGTGGTTTACAACTTTTATTACTTACAAACTTTTGTTATTTACAAACTTTTGTTAGTTGTTTATTAGCCGTTAAACCGATAGAAAGTGTGGTTCATTGCTTGATTAAACTGTATTTTAAATAGAAAATTTGATAATTTGGAAAAATAAAATCTTTGTCTGTGACTTTGGCGTTCAAAGTGTCCTCTTTGTTTCCTCGAAAACAAACGCCTTTACAAATTAAAATCTGGGAATTCGCTCCGTTTTGGCGCCATTTGGTAGGACGGAGGATGTTTCAGTTTTCTATGGGTAAACAGGCAAATATACGATAGAATATCATAATGATATTTATGATAGCAATTACCACGGTAGTAATAATAATAATAAGTAATTTCTTTTTTATCATTTGAACGCGTCGAAGCTAAGCAATTTCTGTATGATGACGATGCCTTTGTTTCATATCTGGCGTAGATCAACACCCTTGACTAAGTTTTATCACATCTGTAATTTGAAACACCCTGACATTCGTCTACAGTACTTCGTTTGCACTTCTCATTCACTGGTATTTCTTCTTCCGTGTTTGAAATGAAATGCCACACTTGGAGTCGAGTTTATTTTTGTGCACTAATTAAGTCTTTATAACAGAGTTATTAAGGAGTAATGTTACGTTGTTGTCATGGCAGGTCCTAAAGGCTTATGGATTGGAGCGTTTACAGCTGCAACCTAAAGAAGTATGTTATTATAGTTTTGTTATTATTGTATCTTTTTAAAAAGAAGTTGATTTGTTAGACTTTTTTTTTCCTCCCCAGGGACTTGCTCTGATTAACGGTACTCAGCTGATAACGTCTCTTGGTGCTGAAGGTAAATCTCGTAAACACTTATTTCCCCCCTCAGATGTTGTGTTTTATGCCGTAAGTTCCATTGGCAAGCTGAAGTAGATTCACGTTCGCCTGGGGCACACTTTGGTTGAGTGTTTTAAAACCCAAGTTAAAGTAATCACATTGGCCAATCAGAGCAAATTAAGGGATGATATTGCAAAGAGCCAATAAGAGCTCAAAGAGCAAGCACGTAAACTTCTTGAAGGGCGGGAAAACGCGAGGGGCGAATGCGCGATTGTTTTTAATGTGCGTCTGATTGGTCGAGCCAAAAATTTGCGCGCGTTTTGAAGCCAATCAATGGGTGGACTAACGCAAAAAGCACTCAATCCTTCGTACTTTCGCCAGTCAAGTGAAAGTTACGTCAGCGATTTGAACATCGGGGAAAGTTAAAGAAACGAACTTGGAGTATCTGGGGTCGCTTATGAACGATTATGGAAAGAACAAGATAAGTCGAAGACCGGATCATATATCTAACCAAATATGCAGATTTTTGGCACAGTGAGACATGTCAAAAAAAATTTAACATGATTTTCAAAATTTCTTTTTCTTATGTTTACTTAGCCGTGGAACGTGCTCGAATGATTGCGAGGCAGGCCGACATAATTGCCGCCATGTCGCTTGAAGTATTGAAGGGAACTACACGAGCCTTTGATGTTTGTAAGTATAATAATACTTCAAAACAAAGGACAGATTGAGTTGAATGATTTATCGTGTCAATACTACAAACATTTTGTGAGTCTTGACGTAACGGTATCAGGTCAATGTCACTATCTGAGCAACTACGCACCTGCTCCTCCCTTAGTCTAAAAACAGTAAAATGATAACAAGTAAGGGTTAATGTTGGGTTAGGGGAGGGGTATGTGCGCAATTCCTCAGAAACTGACATTGGAGTTGTGAAGTAGGAGAATATGAGAAGGATTAGAGATTTTTTTAATATTGTTGGCTGTCGTAAGGAGATAGTAAATGGAAATAAACGGGATCTGAGCTATGAGAGGAAAATCATAGAAGAATGCATTTGAAAATCTAATTATGCAAATTCTAACAGGACCTCGTTCCAGTTCTCAGTTCACAAAAATCTGACTCGCATTCTACTTTATTGAGGTCGTTCGTACATTTCGTACATGCTACTTTAAAGAATGAAAAAAATTATCTAGCTGCAAGTTCTGCATGAAATTGCTTTGATCAATTTATCTGAAATCTTCAGTAATCCAACAAGTGCGCCCACACGTTGGCCAGCGTCGAGTAGCTGAGAGACTGCGCTCTCTTCTTCATTCAAGTGTGTATCCGTCAGAGATTGCAGGCAAGTATAGACCTCACGTTAATTTAGTGAAGTTGCTGTTTTAAACTGATGAGCAGCTCCCCTTGTTCGGTTCCCTTGGGCGAATGCCAGAAAAAATTGGGTCAGACCTTTTAGAAATAACTGTTAAAGATTAGATTTTCTTTTTGAAATATTTCTCCTAATAAGTTCTCAAGTAAAAGTTGAAATCATTTCCTCGATTCAGTTTCCTACCTCACAGCCAAACATTGAACGGTAAAGTGGAGATCAGTTTCGTCAAGATCTAAGAAATATCAGCGCATTAGTCCCCAGCCTGAGGGTGTTCTTTCTTTTTGGCGACCCGTTATGCCTGGAAATGACCATAACGATACATTAGGTTTTATTCTCGTCTCTTAACAAGTGAGTTATTCATGCTTATCTTATTTTATTAGAGAGTCACAGGTTCTGCAACCGCGTCCAGGACGCGTACACTTTACGCTGCTGTCCGCAGGTACGAGGCTTAACCCTTAGACTCACTAGTCACTTTCATTGAATTATTTCGCGCTATATAATGGCAATGATACATAAATAAAGGAATATTAACGTTGTCAATATGCAAAATAAGACGAAAATTCTAAATATCAACGCCAATGAATGGTTTTTTCATATCTTTTTGAGGTCGATGGGCCTGAGTTTGGTGCATGAGAATTCCGACATTTCCAAGTGTAAACAATACATAAGACTACTTACTGGAAATGTCTGAAACTTATTTCCTCTAACGCGTCATTTTTCGTTTATTCTGTAGGTCCATGGGATCGTGAATGACACCATCGATTTCGTACAGGATGTGATCACAACAGAAATGAACAGTGCCACAGACAACCCAGTATCCTTCAATTAGTAAAGTCGTCTTTATAGGCACGCAACGAGTGCAGAGGCCTTTAGATGCTTGAGAAGTAGAATACAAAAACCAAATACGAGTTAAGGTTGCTGTTGTGTTGGGGGAGGGGTAGGTGCGCAGTTTTTCAAATACTGATATTGACCTGAAAAGTTTTGAATGTGGCAAAATCAAACTATTTCAAGTTATAAACTTAATTCATGTTGATTAGATTGTCTTTGCTGATCGGGGCGAGATCTTGTCCTGCGGAAACTTTCATGGTGAATATCCGGCCAAGGTATCATCTGAAATGTCCTTTTTTTGTTTTATACTTTTGTCCCACTTTTACACAGATTTTAGTTGTGCTCTATTTAAAGTCTTTTTGTGTGATTTTTTTTAATTTGCCGTTGTTGTCGTTTGTTTCGTGGTGCTTGTGCTTTTTTTCCCATGTTTTGATTCAATTGTTTTTTTGTTGTTGTTGTTGATGCGAAGTTATGGTATGGGCCTAAGGAGACTGGGGTAACGTATCCTGTCTCTTTCTTGTCTCGTCTCGTCTCAATCCTTTCTCGGCCATACTTCATGCCTTGTATCGATGCAAAAAACAAACAAACAAATTATCCAACTTACGAACTACCCGAACAAAAAAAAACACTTTTTTGAATACGTATAGCTTAGTTATTATTATTATTATGTGGCAGTATCATTATTATTATTATTATTATTATTATTATTTTCGTCGACTAGGTGTTAGATTATCTGGCAATAGGTGTCCATGAGTTGGCTAACATGAGCGAAAGGAGAATAGAACGACTCGTAAATCCAGGTAAGAATTGCAAATGAAACTGTTTGTGGGAGTTTAAGGATAACAGTCGTTTCGATTCAGTTTCTCTTTTTATGGAATTTCAAGAATTAACCTCATGTCACTAACCTCATTTTGTCTTGCTGAAAGTGTGGGAAACGTTACTATTTCATACATACTAAGATTTACACTGTGAAGTGCTATCGTTGTTGTCTCTGATTGGACGAACGTAGCATTTTCACATTTGTTCGCTTCCAATCTTTGAGTTGAAATGGGAAAAAAATCCTAGTACGTCTGAAATTAATACATGATATCGTGGAAAGTGCTTTAGCGATTTTATTTCCTCGTTGCGATGTATCGAAAAACTCACCCGTTCGTTTATTTGATGTATCACAACTAGTGAATAGAAATCTTTCGTGCGCACTTATCATGGAATAATCTATATTCATCGTTACAAAGGTTAGGCTTCTGTGACAAAATATATTAGCATTTTTTTCGTTTTTTTTAATTTGATTGTCAGTATACTTTATACAAAGGAATATTTCAATTTTCAAGTTCCTGTCCGATTTTCTATCATTCAACTTCCTTACTTTCGTACCGTGCAAAGTAAGGCGCACTCATAAGATTGAACAAACTAGAAACGCGCGCTTTTTCTATGCACTTATATTTGTCTTCACGAATGGCGAGAGTATTTCCTGTAATCAGGGTTTCTTACTGGTCAAGGAAAACCTGGAAAGTCTGCCGGTCCGGGAAAGTCCTGGAAATCTACTCAAATCAAGCAATAAAGTTTTCAGAAATTATGTTGTAAGAAATGTATGTAGACCATCTGGAGAATTTTTTTTGAAATCTTGGGAATGAAAGGGTTTAAGTGAGATGTGGAGTCCTGTAAAAGTCCTTGAAATTTGATTCTGAAAAAGGGTACGAATCCTGTAAAACTATATTATATCTCTTCGGAACGTTGCTGTATACGATTTTGTTTGTCTTTGCAGCCCTGAGTGAGCTCCCAGCATTTCTTGTTAAGGAAGGAGGTTTCAATTCCGGTAATATTTTCTAAACTGCATCATATCTCGTAAGAGATAGCTGGACCGACCGGCTGACGAAGGGATAGAACACTGGAGTGTCTGACAGACTGAACGACTGATCGATCACCTGACTTGCTGACAAAAGCTATTAGTGATTCAACTGACTGATAGACTGAAAAACTGGTAAAAACTATTTAAATGGGGTGAGATAAAATAAATAGGGAAGATGGCATCACTATATAGACTTTCAGACGACAGTGGATCTCATAATTCATAACTTTCATAACATTGTTTGTTTTATTAATGTGGTTATTGTTATTGCTTTGATGGAAGTTATAATAATAAGAAATAATAATAATAACAAGTATTATAATTATTCTCATTGTCATTATCAATATCGGTATGGTTATTAATATGGATTACATCATTATTATATAAACAGTAAATAAACAATAAATAATAAATAAAAGATTTATTACAACACCAGCGAAAATCGAAATTATTAAAACTCCTGAAAAGAGACAATCTTAAAGTAACTACGAAAGGCCTTTTTAAAAAGAGACGTCTTTTTTGAGGTCTTTTTTTTAAAAACGGACACTGACGCACCATTTTAAACGTCATATAGCAAAACATTCCATAGTGTCGGGCAGCCACAGAGAAAGATTTTTCGCCATAAGTTTATTGTATCATCATTGTCATTATCACCGTCATTACTATTATTATCAATATCGTTATCATTATTATTGTTATTAGTATTAGTGTTATGGCTATTATTATCAATGTTAGTATCACTACCAGTAATATCATTAGTCTTACTGTGTGTTCAATTTTTGATTTACCCCCCTTAGGTTTCATGATGGCACACTGTACGGCTGCATCTCTAGGTAGGAGATATGTTTCTAAACAAGTTTAATGATAACTTTGTTTTTTTTTAATAAATATATATACATATTATTATTTGGTTGACTTCTGAGTCCTTTTAGTTTCAGAGAATAAAGTCCTTTGCCACCCCTCCTCAGTTGATTCGTTGTCCACATCTGCTGCCCAAGAGGATCACGTGTCTATGGGAGGATTTTCCGCCAGAAAAGCTCTTAACGTGGTTAAAAATGTTGAAAAAGGTGTGAATGTTGTGGATGTCTCGCACAATGCATTTCGAGAGAAAGGAAACCGCTGATCGCCATGCATGGCATAGCGATATTAAAGTAGTGGCAGCTGTGATATTGTGTTTGCTGAAAAGCGAAGGGAATGTTGTTCCCAAATGCAGAATGTTGCACAAACAACCACGTCTTCGATCCTTACGTAATAAATGAACTAAAGAATAATCAACGGGCACTCGTAACTTTGGAAAAAACCCTTTGAGTTGAACTCGAGAAGGGAAAGAAGATACATTTTGTTCTATTTAGTATACAAACACTATGGGCCTGTATTGACATAAAAAATAAATTTTATTAATGATTGAAAAGAAAAAGGATCACAATCCGCGAAAAAAGTGGTAAAGTGCGTGTCTTGGTTTCCTGCGCTTCTAGTAAACTTTGAAGCGCTACAAATTTTACGTGCTGTCAGCAGCCATAATTGGTTGAGCATCGCATATCAAAATGAAAGTGTTTGAGATTATTAAGATTATTATTATTATTATATCATCAGTATTATTTTGATAAACCCTGCCATTGTTGCTGTTTTTTGCTTTTTTCAGTCCTTGCTATTGAATTGTTAGCGGCTTGTCAAGGAATCGAGTTTTTGCGGCCATTGAAGACAACAGAACCATTAGAAGCTGTTCACTCATTGGTTCGGAAAGTTGTAAAGTAAGTTTTATTCAATTTACTTTAAAGTGCATCTCTACCTTGAATCCTGAGACCAAAAAGAAAATAATTACAACGTTAAATCAGAACAAAGTGAAATACTTAAGCTACGTGTCAATGGCAAAAGCCAACAATTTAAGTCACGATTGGTTGAAGTTTCCCACGACATCTCTACACCATTCTCCAGGTAAACAATTTTTTTCTTTTTTTCAGGCCGTGGGACAAAGACCGTTTCATGGCGCCCGACATAGAGGCTGTGTTGAAGCTTGTGAAGAAAGGAAAGGTATGTGCAAGAGTTTATTCTAGAGCAGACTGAAAACAAACAGGCTCTATGGTGACTCAGTGATTGACTCAAGGATGAAAGCAGTTGGTATGCATCCACCAGTGTCCTATCAAAATCTTCTTGACAACGCTTCTCTACTTAACAATTAGATTATGGGCTTTAGATTTCAATTGCGAGATTGTTGATAAGGGCAAAGCCCGAATCAAACATCGCACATAGTTTGATCATTTTTTCGTGCGTTTGTTTTTGGTAGGTTGATTAGTTCGTTTGCTTTTTGTTGTTGTTGTTTTTCCTCAAAAAAAGAGGGGAAAAAAACTATCATTGATCATGAATAAGAGATGGTCCTCATGTGCTGTAAATGTTAGGTTTCCTGGCACTAGGCCTAGTCTCTGCCGAGGGTTTGTCATTCGACACTAGGTCAAACCTCGGCGCACATGTGTTTTTATCGCTTGATATTTTCGCCTTTATTTTTCGAATGAGGATCATTTAACAAGATTAATATCGAAGGAATAGAGTATCACGGAACCATTACGGATATTGTGGCAATTTTCAAGGTTACAGACAAGGACACTTGCTTGTTTGTAAGGATTTCTCATACGGAATTGTATTCGAACAGTGTGCTGAGCGTAGTTGATCGGATCGACTAAAACAAGTTACTGACACTGAATTCACGGCTGTAATATGGTCCTCATATGCTGTATACCATTTCCCCTTCGAATTTCACATGTCTCCGAAAGGTATTTACAAGGGTGTAGCTATGACTAGAAGCGTCGTCTACTAAATGGTAAAGAGAACCTTCCGAGGCATGTAAAACTGACTTTTTGTCTTTTCCACTTGCAGATCTGGGAAGTGGCGTCACCATTTATGACGCATTACCAAAGCACCACCAGATGTCAACAGGAGCTCCCAACTAACATTATGTCTCCTACTGCAAGTACTCTATCGGTTGACACTCCTCCCCTTAAGAAGATCAAGCTAAATAAGGAATGAAATGGACGCTTACCAGCGTCGTGTGCGTTGCGTATAGTGGAAATGCTTTCTTCTTCTTTTGTGATCAAATCACAGATAACTTGTAAATATCATTACTTGCTGCCTCTGATTTTAATGCGCCGTTTAGCGTGTGAGGCGAAAAAAATTGGAAATATACAGAGCAAAAAGCGGACAGGGGCATGCGCTCTCAGTAATTTAGCAATATACTTTATTCGCGTTCTCGTTGGTCCCTTTTGGTCATGTGTTAGATTGCACTCTCGGTGCTGGCCAAAAGATAAGCAGGCTCTGAAGACGAGATTGACATCGCATAGCAAACTACATGTTAATTGAATATTTTGTTGTGATGTCTTAGACATTACTTGGTTTTGTCTACTTGTGCATCGGTTTCGAGTAATTTAGAATGTTTTCAAAATTCATTTACAGGCGAGAAATATAGTCTTATGGAAAATATTAATTTATTTTAAAATTGAATGAAGAATTCTCATTTATTTACTCAATTCTTGACTTCTAGGTTGAGTTAATTCTCAAGTCGCAAGAAAAATATCTGAATCGTAGTGTGGTTTTTTGTCGTCGATAGATGTTAAGTTAACACCTTGTCAAACTTTCAAGTATTACCTATCCTGACAGAAGCTCTTTGGCTGGCTAAGGTTTTTGTTAATATTATTTATAAGATATGTTTATTCCCGTTATGTGAAAAGAAAAAAAAATTCATAAAACAAACTGGAAAATGTATTTGCCTCCTTAAATTTCCTTTAAAATATCTCTAATAAAAAAAGATTTAAATTTGGTTATATCCGTCTCATATCTGGTTTGTTTTGTAGTTTGTTTGATTGTTTGTTTTGTTTATTTGTTTATCTTAGGGATGCTTATTTTTGCCCGTTATCGATAGTTGACTAAGACAAACAGTCTATCGATTTTGCGTCAGTGGTTTTATTTAGGTATCAATATCTTTTTATCGCAGTGAGACCAAAAAAAAAACTAATTAAAGCAAAAAGAAAAAAAAAGAAAGAAAAGAAACTTAAACAAGAAAACAACGAAAGAGGAAAAAAAAAACCTATCTTGGGATCAAAGTGTCGAGTCTCAAACGTTTTCTACTTCGCTAAGATAATTTAATTTGGTTTTATTAGCTGAGTCGATAATGTAGATTGGCCACCGTGAAGAGTTTCTTAAAGCTAACGTTTCGAGCGTTCGCCCCTCTTGATTTCGCTCTGACGAAGGGCTAACGTTAAAAAACGTCAGATTAAGAAATTCTTGACGGTAGCCAATTTACATTATAAAATTAGTTGATTAAGCCAAAATATATTGTAATACCCACTCCGATGCAGCATACTTGTCTTTAGGTGATGAGATTGTTTGTTTCAACCGACCACTGTTCGCATCTGTAAGTTTGCGTGCTAAAACGAGTTAACGGACAAAACCCGTTCTTTGTATTGCACATATAACATGGAGCCTAAAACGTTTTGCTGTGAGCGTTTATTTCCGCAATTTCGGGCTCTGTTTCCTCTGAGAAAGAACTCGTCCAAGGCCCTATAACGTCCGTGGGTGACCGCGCATCGTTGAGGTTCTCAGTCTAAAATCGAGTGGTTACCAAGGCATGACAACAAAATTCTCTTAATTATCAAACAAAGCAGACGAACAGTATTTGTGTGTAATTTCTTGTAAAAAGCTACTCTTCTGAAGGATGGTGTGACTAATTATTAACGGTGAGATGTTCATAAGAGTTTTTTCAAATCATTTTAACCCAGATAAGTTTAATTGGGGGGGGGGAAGTTACTTTGATATACGAGGATATATAATTCGGATTCAAACGATGACTTCGTTGCGTAATCAAGCTTTCCGTATTTTTGTGAAGGATAAGTTTTATGGCATCATGACAGTAACAATTTCACAGCAGTATTATCGAGATGTGTGAAAAAAACTAGGCGAAAACATCACAAAAGTCATAAAATGAGTTAATGATTCCATGCAAGACAAATCGAATCCGATCGTTACTCGTAAAATACTTCAATCTCAAGTCAGCTTTTCCCTATTTCGTTACAGCTGGGCGCTATGTGGCCAGGAAAATTTCAGCCGTGTTTTCCAAGTCAAGCGATAAAGCCCAGTCACAAGAAGCTACGGAGGAATCAAGTTCGGAGCCAAGATCGTTAAAATTCTCTCCAGCGGCTGTAAGTAGTGAAACGGAAACATCTGCTCACCAGTGGAAGGATTCTACCGAAAATGCCAATGGAAGTAATGTCAGACATGTAAATGAAGAAGGAGTTACGACATAGAGAGCATTTTAATCAACACACATATAACGCAGAGGACTTCTTTTGTTTTTTTTCTAATTCAATGCTTCATTAGCAGAACTTTAAAGCTAAAGTCAAGCCCTGAAGGCAATTGTAAGAAGTGATAGAAGCCTTCAGCTGATTTATCTGCCTTCTTGTTAATGATTTTGGATCAATGCTAGTATTTGTGGAACAGTGCACTTTCTCAAGCCTTCCCTAACCCAACAACAGTCAAGTGATAAAATTGGGTTAATGTTGGGTTAGGTCATTTGAAGAGGGGAAGATGTGCAGTGAGTGGCTCAGTTACTGAGATACCATATTTATGTTCCATCTTACTTTTTTTTCCTTTTTTTTGGATCAATGTCAGTATCTGAGCAATTTTGCACTTACTCTTCCCCTAACCCAACAGCAGTCAAGTGATGACAAACTAGGTATTTTTTTTAGTAGGAGAGGGGTAGATGTGTAGTTACTTGAATAGTGGCATTGATCCAATGATTTTTTTAGCTGTTAACTTTCCTGTCTGCCTTGTTGTGCATCTTTGCTGCTGATCAACATTTACACTGGTGTTTATGATAGTATTGCTGCAAAGTTCCTTCAAATGAAATGTAGCTTTACCTGATTAGAAGATTACACCAGTTTTAATTGTTGATCATTTGAAACTTACAGCTGTGAAATTTTTTGACAACAATTTACTTCATGAATTTATGCATGCAGAGCATTGTATACACATAAGCTGCAAACTAAATGCTGGCTCTTATTGACCATAGCATAGAAAGTATCTGTGACAGGGAGGGAAAATAAATGTGATAAAACTGCTGGATAACCCAGAGTAACATTTTGTTTGTATTGATGTTGACAACTCTGCATTGGGAAGGCAAACCCTCCAACCTGACGTACCATAATAATCGCAGTTTATTTTTTATTATTTTATTATTAAGAAAGGGGGGGAGGGGTGGGGTGGAAAAGGTGAGGAGTTGGTGACATGAAAGAATGAGGAAAATTATCCTTTTGGGGGGCGGGAATGGAAAAAGAAGGGAAACAATCTCTGTGGTGGCTCATCAAACACACACATATTTCAAACTCTGACAAAGAGTGAACACTTGAAACATTGGCTTTGAAACTCTTTACAGTGGCCAAACTATGTTATCAACTTGGTTGGTAACACTAAATTACAATGTTATACTCTCCCATCCACACAGTTCTACAGTTTCATTAGAAACTTACCCCCTTTATTTATTTCAAACTGTTTTGCACATGTGTTCAACATTAGAAAAGGTCAGAATTTATTTTAATCACAAACCAAAGAAACATTTCATTCTAATGATGTAAAAGGAGCTAATACTCAAGAAAATCAGTTTGAATTAACCCTGTAACTCCCACAAGTGATTAACATGGAAGTTCTCCCTTTAATATTCATACACTATCCTACAAACAGGTGATGAGAAAACTTAAACATACCAGTTGTTTTCTCAGTCTAACATAAAATTCTCATTACTATTTACAAGGAAATGTGTGGCAGCTAGTGGGGAGTTTAAAATCTAGGACTGACCAACTGCATGGTATACCTTGGTGCTGAATACTCCATCTCAATCTCTGACTGGTTTAGGTGATGATCAAGGAATAACCTTAGTAATTTTAGTATGATGACATCAAAACCTCTCTTATTAACTATGACTCCTGAGTTACATGCAGATAACTTCTGTTTACAAGGTGGGATGCCCTCTTTACCTCTTGAGGCACTCATTCAAAGCTAACATATCAAAATAAAGTTGTGTAAGTACTTCATTACTTTTTAGAACTCTTGCAAATTCAATCTTCATTACCTTACAATATTCTTGTTTATTTAAGCAAAGTTGCAATCAGTCCTATATAACTAATTTATATATATATATATATGTATTTTTTGCAACAGCATACCTTACTTACAATGAGCTGCTCGCAAGAAATGTCATACTACTAAAATTGCTGACATACATCTTATACCTTACTTGCATTCTAAACATCAAAGTCATTATTTTAAGTGTTTAACAAGTTGCTTGGCATACTTGGAAAATAAAAATGGATATTGATTAGGTACTTAATATACTGCTCTTTTTTGTGTACATTTTTTTGTTTAATTCTCCTTTTTATCAACTATTTTATAGTTTTGGGGGGGGGGAGGTAAAAAAAATAAAGGTTAAATAGGATAGGCGTTGGCTTTGAAACTAAGTACCTCTGATCTTGGTTATTCAAAGGTTATTTACATAAAATTCTCATGATGTCACTTCACTCTCGTTGTAATTTATGTTAGGCCAAAAAGAAGATACAGTGATGTAACAGCACTGATGGTGGACAGAAGATACAGTGGTGTAACAGCACTGATGGTGGGCATTGTACTGGATAATACTTGTTGGTTGATAATGGTCATCATTCTCATATTTTCTTAAATTAAGGTATGTCCCTAACCTTTGTAAAATTAATTTCATTACAAGCTGAATATCGTAAAGTCATGCCGAAAACTACAGTTCGTTTTGTTTTTTAGTGTTTTTTTCTTGATGCTTTTGATTGTTTATCTTTACTAAATTTACAATGCTGTGGAATTGTTTTTTGAGACGAACGAGCAATTATTTAGTGTTTCTTTTTGAGAATTTTACGCAGCTGACCTCTCTAAAAGTTTTTTACTGATTATCATATTCCTCTAAAATCTTGGCAATGTCACCTCTCTTAGCAATTTTTCTCAACACTCTTGCAAACTCGGCAACTGTTAGCTGTTCGTGTGAAGCTGCCAAGTGTTCTATTAGGGCTTTTGACGGTCCGCCATCGTGCTTTTCGTAAACTGCGGTCACTTGAAAACTGTCAATATCATAATGCGAACAAACATCATGATAGTCACCAACACCTGGCTTACTTGTGTCCAGACGGTTACACACTCTTTCTAGTAATGGCCCATTATCCAGCAAGCTGCTGAGGGGCTTCGAGTCTAAAACAAGGAGAGAATTTGGATACACTTTATGTTTAATGTGCTTACGCTGCACCGCATTAATGGAAATAGCAGATTGTTATATCATAACCTTAATTATTTATTTAATTTATATTTTAATTATTTATTGCAGGAAAAAGTCATAGATGACGTCATCACAAGCAACATTATGCTTCAGTTTATCATACAGAAAAAAATATTCCATATCGCCGTGAGTCTGCACAGTAATAGATCATCATTAGATGACGTCAATATGTGGAAAATTACAGTTTTGTGTGGTGGGTGGAAAGCTTATTCGAAGGAGATGTTATAATTATTTGAAGATTTAAGGGACAGTTTCTCATGATATATACCATATAAGGCATATACCTTGACGAGTTTTTGATTGTTCGTCTAAGTTTGCCCTGTCTCCTTCTCCTTGTGTTGAGGACTTTGCCTTTTTGCTGCGTTTGAGAGTAGGTAAGTTCACCTCAGGACCGCCATTTGCTTCATGTCTTTGACGTGAAAAATTCACCGAGTGTGATTTATTCAAACCTAAAACGTTCGCAAATGAAATCAGCACGGTTTATCAATTTGCAAATATCAAACTGTATTTACACACTTAATTATTTTAGACATGCAAAAATTTCAGCATGCTGACTGGCTAAGAACACGTGAATTATACCAAACAGTGCAGAAAATTGAAATTGAGCGCACAATGTGGAAGTGAAATTGATTAACAGGTAAGTCGCGAAAGCACAACAAAACAAAATGGCGGACAAATGAGGAGGAAGTAAAAACGTCTTGATTCGGAGTTTGAAGGAGAATGCAAAAAGTAAAAACACCGAACAAAGGAGAAAGAGCACAAACACTTGATTATTTGTAACAGGGAGTTTAAAAGCTTGAAGCAAGTTATTGAGAGAAAAGCCTGACTACCCCGGCAACAAGACAAAGACAAGCTTATTCGTAGGAGGTGTTAATTTGTAGATTTAACTAAAGTTTCTCATGAAACTATGGCTGCGATGACGATCACGAAGATACCTTGAGGATTTTTTGGTTGTTCGTCTAAGTTGCCCCCGTCACTTTCCTCTAGAGCTGAGGAAGTCGAGCATCCAGCTGCGCTGTTGAAGTGCGTACGAGCATTTGCCGCCTCGCCCGTCTTCTAAAATGGAGAGAGCATTTTAAAGTTGCAAAATCGTTCGGATACCACGAATACTGAATTAAACAATATTAATATTCAAAAGGGTTATCGGTAGAGCAAAGGAAAAACGTTTTAGACTAAAAGGACAGTTTAATATATCTTATTCGTACTTAATCTGCAGTTACTTAATTTCGCGATTTTGGCGAGACATTATTTCGCGGGGATTCATTTTCTCAATTTCATGAGAAACTATGAAAATAGAACATTGAATTTTGCGAATCAAGCGTTGTCAACTTTATTTTAATTATCAAAATGTCTGAACTTTTTAAAATTCAAAGACAAACTGGAATAAGTGTTGGAACGTTACATGAAACTTATGAATGAGAACTACAAGAAACGAGTTAAGGGCAATTTTGAGGACTGCGTAAAAGATGTTATCAGGAATTTGTATGAATTTTGCGATTTATATAAAGATGATTGACATTAACATTACACAAGATACATTAATCGCGATACACAGTGGAACTTACCAGTAAAACAAGTTGATAATTTGCGTGTATGTCGAAACATGTCGTGTTTGTTGCTCTAATTACATGTTAATCATTTTTTTTTAATTTGAGTTTGCTATATGGGTATTATCCGCGAGCATTTTTATTCCAGAGTCTTTAATTTCTCGATTTTTTTATAATCACGAATAACGCGAAATTAAGGTTAAGGTCAATTACGAATAAAGTATTTGATAATTATTTTTAATGGAAAGAAAAAATAAAAGTTTCAGGCTTGAAACTCGACAGCTTTATTTTGCAAGGTTCATCAAGGCTTTCCGCCTTTATGCATGATATTAATTATATTCACTAGATTTTGTGGTTATTCTGTAGATGTCGGTTAAACCGGGGAAGCTTATTAGAAAATGTAAAGTTAAGTTGGTAATAATAATAATAATGATAATGATAATGATAATAATAATTAGAACTAGTAATAATAGTAATAATTAGAATTTACATAGTGCAATTTACATAATGCATTTCACAGAAAATGAAAATTCTCGTTGAAAATGACAGCTGATTAAACCAACGACAAAGTCAAAGATAAATAAATATTTACAAATCTTCATTATTCCTTTAAAAAGGTTAAAAAAGACTACATTAATGAGCCAACAAAATAAAAGCCCGGCTGAAAAGGAAGTTCATTTTTAGACTACGCTGAAAACTAGACACAGAGTCCAGCACACTGATGTCTCTAGGAAGACTAGTGGTTTTGACACATATAGGCTCATCACTGGGAGGGCAAATGTGAGGTAGGAGGCTTATAATTAGCAAAAATATATACTTTACGCGTAGATCGAGCGTCATCGGTTACGGTTAGGCTTATAAGGTCGAAGAAAGTGAGTGGCGATTGTAACTTTACAGAAAAAGTTGAGCTGAAAGTTACATTAGATTTGGTTTGATTTTGTGTTTTGTTCTTTCTTGTTTCTTTTTTCTTTCCTTGTTTTCAAAAAAAAAAACTAAAACCGTGTCAAGCACATACCGTATTACCTTCACAAGTGAAAAACCAGGGCTCAAGTAGATTGCATGTTCTGTATCATGGCCCTCTTGCTGAAACGTTAGATTAGAAGTAAATGGTTTTACTTCTCGACCCTCCATTGGTTCTACTCCAAAAACACACATATTTTTACAGCGAAATCTACCGCCGTGGGAATCATCGCAGATGTACACCTACAACAAATCACAGATTGAGAATTACATTGCATCAATCGGGAGCAAAACGCTTTGAATAAAAATGCACGAAGAATAAGAGGTTCTTCAAAGTGCATTGTTAAGACACCTACTTTCAGAGGTAATCAGAAGGCTATATAATCGACAAGGCATAAGTTTCTTTTTATTATGAAAAATAACAATAGTGAGTGGCAAACGGTTTGGCACACTCTACTACTTACTACTTTTTTGAATGTTGTCAACTTTTCCCATAACTCTCATTTATCTCCCCCCCTCCCCCCCATCCCAATGTTGCCTGGTGCTGGTGTTGTTTGGGGAGAGAGGGAGGGACTTTCAAGTAACTTATTAAACATCAATTACTAGATTTCTGTTTATTACAATGTGTATTGAGTGGAGGATTGTCGACCAACCACAAAGGGCCTATTAAACCTCAGTTCAGATTATCAGAGACAAAAATGTTTTATTGTAACTCACGACTGAGCCCAACCCCATGTTGATTTCCTCACCTGCTCACCAGGTGTCTCGTCTAATTCCCAGCCCTTCTTAGGATCTGGCAAAAGTTTCACGGTTATCTTTTTGCTGTTGTTGTACATTTTGAAGGGTTTCTCCATTCCTTTCCATGAATCAGGAAACCGCTCATTATCTTGCGTCTCCACTCGCTTGTGAAGGCAAAATATATGGATCAGCTGGGTGGTACATCGTGCAATAACAAGAGTGACTAGATGAAAGGGTATCATTCTTTGAATTTCAGACGAAACCTTATTTTTAAAATTTTGTTAGACAATTTCAACTCACTAACCACTTAAAGGAATGATGAATGACTGGATGATAGCACATTGTGACTCCGACAAATTTATAAATTGCTTGGTAGATGCTTACAATTGAGTTGCATACGCACAACAGGAGTAACAACACTCCTTGTCGCTTCATTTCCATGAGAGTAGGATAAGCTCCGGCAGTAAGAGGCTAATAGACTACTATGTACATACTCGTACTTTCGTTTCACCGTGGAGCGTCAGAGCTAAGTCGCAAAGTTACTCGGCAGTGATGTGATGGTTAAGCACATAAGCACATAAGCATGGGAATAACATACATGAATGAAGGGAAGCAAATATGGCGCACAGCTAATCAGAGAGGAGGAATATGTACCTCATGGTAAAAGATAACCAATCATATGTGCGAATTTGTATTCAAGATGGCGATTTGATGTAACGCAACCATAGTAGATATGTGCTACAAAGTAGTGCCCCCGTATAGTACTTAAAAGAATCACATGGATAAACCAATGATCATGATATGATGTGATATTAAATCATGAATAGCGGAAGCTAAAGCCAGTTATCAGTGGAAATGACTCACTTGTATCATACACTGTATGTGGGTAAAATATTGGAAAGAACACTTCTGTTAAAAACAACAGATTGACACAGTCGGTTGCATTTGGTGGATGCCTTGCGTTCAAACCAAAATAAACTCCTTCTTAAACAATTACTTACCCTCATAGAATCCTTGTTGTCACTGTAAATGTAGAATCTGAAAAAAATGAGATCACGTCTGGGATTCGGTTTACTAGCAAACACTGTGGCTCTTTTCTTTCTTGGTGCCCCACGACGACAATATACGCACCAGAAACAGAACGTCATGGTTTTGATATGAATGGAGTCCTCTTTTGCTGTGAACCACGCCCTTGACATATCATTTTTCTTTGATTCGTTAGGGATTTTCTCCCACCTGATGGGACCTTTAATCAAAAGTTGATGACAAAATCATCAGTACAGTAACAGCATAATGAACATTAGTCCTACCTTCCCAAAAGAGAAGAGGATAAAAAAAATAATAAGGGAATACGAGTAAGTGGGATTAATCTGCTGTGGAAATCCACGAGGTACCCACAGGATTTGAAATTTGTGTCGCGGTTTTTGCGAAAGAAGGAAAATCAGATACACAGAGAAAACATCTGTGAGCGTGGTGAGAAGCAGTAAAAACACTCAAGCACACATGACGCCAGGTTCGATAATAGAAACCGGGCCACAGCGATGGGTAGCGAGAGTTCTCATCTTCTTTGTAAGTCCATACCCTGAACAAACTCCGAACATGTAAGGCTTACAAAAGTGTAAGTCCTCAAGATGTTAAATCTTAGATGTATTTTCTTTGAATTCAGCTGAAAATACTTAGCCCAGGGATTTTTCGATTACCTGGGTCGGTTCGGTAGACAGTTATCCATTCCTTTTTAGCTTTACCCATATAGAGGCAATGTGGAATTATAATCTTCAAGGGCTTTAAAAGTCTGATATCGTGTGGTCCGCATTCAATCACAGGGGAAATGAGTGTTTCATCAGGTCCAACGGGGATATTCCGCAACAGCTCTGTTGTGTCGTAGACCACGCGGTAGAAGACTTCCTGGCTGACTCCAGTCGGTATTGCACCGTTTCCAATACATATTTTCACGTCAGAGTCAAGAGCGGCACTCAGTTCACCGCCGGAACTGTTGAATTCGTTTTTCACTTCAAAGTAGTTTCCAATAGATATTTTCACGTCAGAGTCAACAGCGGCACTCCACTCAGAGTCATGAGCGGCATTCAGCTCACCGCCGGAACTGTTGAATTTGTCTTTCACTTCAAAGCCTTTTCCAATACATATTTTCACGTCAGAGTCATGAGCAGCACTCGACTCGCCGCCGGAATTGTTGAATTTCTCTTCTACTTCAGAGCCTTCGGGTAAAAAGGCACTTTCGTTGCTGTCATTTAGACCTACTTTATTTTTCCGAAGATTTGCCTCATCCGTGACCTTTAATAGCAAAAAAATCTAGTCAATCAGTGTTTTGAGCCAAACAGATATGTTTCCCAAAAATTATATGAGGTAACTCAAAGCACCCTATTGAGAAAGAAAAAAAACCAACATCAACATTAAATTTTACTACACTTCCTATGGTTTCAAACAAATGCTCGATTATTTTGAAATTGACTTTAAAAGGTTGCTAATCTAACATTTCAGCCTCTTTGAAACATCCTCAATTAAAGTTGAAGTAAAAGTCTTAAGACACACCGGTTGTTTTGGTTTCTTTTTTTTTATCTTATTTCCTAGGGTAGCTTTTCACCTGCACTTCAGCCATACATGATGACGCTTGAAACGATGACTGCCATTCCCTAGTATAACGTGATGGTCGGCAGATCAATTAGGAGTTACGAGTAGAATATAGATGAACGGCCTTTTAGGATAAGTCCATACCTTTACATCATGAAGCGTGCCAAATGCAGAGTCTTCAGAAGTAGCAATTCTTTTCGGGATTGGTCTAGAAGCACTGTAAAGAAATTTAATTGTGCAGGGTTAGAAAAAAAAAAACGGTTTTGGTTGCAGAGGAACACCGGTACCCAGGGTATGTATACGTACCAGCTCCGAAGACGGCTGTTACGAACACATACCACCAGTCAAATCAATAAGCTGTTAGGCATATGCAATCTATGAAAGCGCCGAGTGGGTATTCTTGAGGTTTATAATGGAGATATATCCCGGTAGAGGTATTCCCATGAAGAATTTTGTGGAGCACTATTTATTACAAGAATTGCTTACCATCAAACAGTGGTATAACGGCACTGGTTGTAAACGGTCAATCAAAGCCTATTAACTTAAAATTCTCATGATGTCCTTTCGTTCTCGTTGCAACTTATGTAAGGCCAAAAAGAAGTTGCAGTGGTCTAACAGCACTGATGGTAAATAGTGTACTGGACAAAACTTTTCAGTTGATAATGGTTAACAGTGTCATCATGTTTTCTTGAATCTAGGTATGTTCTTGGCCTCTTTAAAATTAATTTCACTACAAGCTTAAGATCGTGTAAGTCATGCCAAAAATCACAATTCATTTTGGGTTCTTTTTTTTTTCCCCTTTTTGCATTTGATTGTTTACTACTTCTGAATTTACTATACTGTGGATATTTTTTTTGGGATGACCGTGCATGAGTTATCCAGCTTTCCTCTTCAAGGATTATACACACTTTTAAATCATTTAAAAGTTACTTCAAAATAACATTCTTTAAAACGTTTCTTACTGGTAACCATATTCCTTTAGATTCCCGACAAAGTCATTTCTCTGTTCAATTTTTTTTTAACACACTCGCAAACTCGGCAACTGTTAGCTTTGGTTGATGGACTGCCAAGTATTCTAATAGGGCTCCTGGTGTTCTTTCACCATGTTTTGTAAAATTTGCGGCCATTTCATATCTGTCAACACCATAATGTGAACAAACATCTCCATACCTCTTCGTTTCTGTGTCCAGACGGTCACATACTTTCGTTGAAAATGGCCGATTACCCAGCGAGCTGCTAAGTAGCTTCGAATCTACAACAAAGAGAAAATTTGGAGATAATTAATGTTTAATTTGTTTACACCGGTAGGCAGTAATGAAAGTAACAGATTGTTACATGATAAGCTAAATTATAGACGCATTTCGATTGGATTTTCCCTATGATCTATTGGAAGACAGATGCTTAGATGACTCTACCATCAACAAAATTTTGCTCTCTTATCATTTAAACGAATAAATTATATTCGCCGTAGGTCTGCAAAAGAAAAGAACATTGACCGAGTGATTCACCGTTTTTCTTCACAGAACATCGCCAAAAGGTCTGGGTATCAGCAGATATGTCACGAATTTACGAAAATAAACGACATTTTTTAAAAACATGTTTGGACAGTTCTCCTGTCATCTACAGTTCTGATTTAAACAAACAACAAAGCTGAATTTAAAGTGTATAACAAAATCCTCATTGGACAAAACAAACAATAGAAGGAGGTGTTAATTTGTAGATTGAACCAGAGTTTCTCATGGTAGTAGTTATAGCTACGATGACAATAACAAAGATACCTTCAGAGGTTTTTGAATTTTTACCTAAGTTGCCCCTGTAACTTTTTTTTAGAGCTGAGGAAGTTGAGCATCTAGCTGCCATTTTGAACCGCTTACGGTCGGCCAACCCCTAAAATGGAGAGAGCAAATTAAAGTTGCGAATTCGTTCGAATACCAGAAAATCATGTTCATGAATACTGAGCTGAACAATTTCAATATTCAAAAGGGATATCGATATAATAAAGAAAAACTGTTTTAGACTAAAATGACAGTTTAATATACCTTATTCGTGCTTAATCTTCGGGTACTTGATTTCGCGATTTTGGCGAGACAGTATTTCGCGGGGATTTTTTTTCCCGATTTCATTACAAATATAAAAATAGGAAATTGACTTTTGCGACTCAAGCGTTGTCAACTTCATTTTAATTTTCAAAATGTCAGAACTTTTTAAAATTCAAAGATAAACTGGAATAAGTGTAAGAACGTTACTTGAAAGTTGTGAATAAGAACTACAAGAAACAAGTTAATGGAAATTTTGAGGACTGCATGATAGATATCAGGAATTTGTATGAATTTGCGATTCATGTGAAGATGATTAACATCAACATTACACAAGATACATTGATCGAGATACAAAAAGAAACTTACCAGTAGAACTAGTTGACAATTTGCGTACATGTCGATATACGTCGTGTGTGTTGCTCGTACTACGAGTCATTCTTTTTTTTTTCAATTTTAGTTTTCTAGATAGGTACTAAATTCCGCGTGCTCAAATTCCGCGAGGATTTTCATTTCCGAGTCTTTAATTTCGCGGTTATTTTATAATCACGAATAATGCGAAATTAAGTACGAGTAAGGTATTTGATGATTATTTTTGAAGGAAAAGAAAAATAAAAGTTTCAGGCTCGGAACTCGACCGCTGTAGCTTTGCAAGGTTAATTAGGACTCTCCAACTTTAATTAGAATTAGTAATAAAAATAATTAGAACTGACGTGGTGGAAAATTACATAATGCGTTTCAGAG